TCACGCTCTATCGAGGCCACCCATTCACCTGCGTGGTTTTCCCTATTACCATCTTCAGCTGTTCCCATTTCTTTACCTGCAGCCCCATCTTGGGTCCTGAGCTCTGGACTCTCATTTCCAACTGCCTGCTGGGTATATGAATATATATTTGGATGTAGTGGATTCTTCAGACTCAACAACAAGTCTCTAAAGATGCTTTTTATCTCCCATCCTTTGCCCCCTTCCTCAGCGAGCTCCACCCAACTGACCCACTGATGGTCCCCCCCCCCCAAGTATGCCAACCACTGCCTCAGCACTCTTATACTTGCTGTTCAGTAAATTAGGCACTGAGAATGCTTTTCCCCAGATATCCCGATGACTTCCAGAGCTCTGCTCTCAGGTCACCTCCTTAGAGAGGCTTTTCATGGCCCTTCTGAATAACGGCTCCCTTCCCTTACTCTACTTTTCTTGTACGTGTTATTATCTGACATCATGCTACATCTTTGTTTGTGGCCCATCTCCCCCACCAGAATGTTAGCTCAACAAGGATAGAGCTTTCATCTCATTCAGTTGTATACTTACATTGAGCACATTCACTGGTGCTCAACAAATTTTTGTTACATGATTGAATCAGCTTGTAATCTTTACGCACATCCTACACTCCTCCTTTTTGTGAGTTCTGGTTCCATTCATAGCATACTTGGCCATCCAATAAATCGCTCATCTCAGAAATCTGCATTTCACAGGTTCTGACTCATCCTAAATCACTCATGGGAATGTTTGATAGTTACACCTAGAGCCAGGACTGGAGCAAGAATGCAAATGAGGCTTGCCCCTTCTTTTCCTGTTCTGGCTCTGTCCCATTGCTGGAGGGCTGTCATGTCCACAGGGGGCTACTCAACCAGCAAGCCCAAGCTCTGTCCATCCTCCCAAACCTAAGGCCCAGGGGTATGCACAGGCAGCTTGGTTTGCCCTCAAGAGAACAAAGCTGGGGGAGAGGTTTGTTCATAGGATGTTTGAGCAAAGAACTGCAAGGCCCTGGACACTTGGGTGTGTGATCTAGAAGGGGAGGAGGCAGTGTGAGCTCTGATTCCCTTGTCCCCCCGGGGAAAAGTGAAACAGAAGGAGGCCCAGATCCGAGGCTTCTAAAGAGCAGGGTTCAGGGAGGGGGCCTCATTACTGCCGCCTAATGGCCATACTACCTGGGCTAAGACCCAAACTCCAAAAATGTGGGTGTAACTACACAAGCATGAAGTCCAGAAAGCATGCTTCTTCCCTGCCTTGCCTAAAAACCAAAGATGTAAGTTCTATGATTCAAGAGCTATCAATGTAGAGATTTAGAAAAGGAAATCTTGGGTAAAAATCCCACTGGAAAACTGGACTTAATCAAAATTTAAAACTTTGGTCCTTTCAAAGACACTATTAAGAGAATGAAAAGACAAGCCCTGACTGGTGTGGCTCAGTGGGTTGAGCACTCTTCCACAAACTGAAGGGTCGCTGGTTTGATTCTCAGTCTGGGGACGTGCCTGGGTGGGGGGCCAGATCCTGGGTTGGGGATGTATGAGAGACAACTGATCGATGTTTCTCTCCCTCTCTTTTTCTTTCTCTTCCCCACTCTCTAAAAAGAAATAAAATCTTTCTTAAAAATAAAAAAAGAGAAAGAATGAAAAGACAAGCCAAAGACTGGGGGAAATATTTGCAAATAATATATCTAATAAAGGAATTATGTCCAAAATATATTAAGGACTCTCAAAACTCGATAAAGCCCTGGCTGGTGTGGCTCAGTGGATTGATCACCAGCCTGTGACCCAAAAGGTCATCAGTTCGATTCCTGGTCAGGGCACATGCCTGGGTTGCGGGCCAGGTCCCTGGCTGGGGGCATGCAAGAGGCAACTAGTCAATGCATCTCTCATACATTGATGTTTCTCTTTCTCCCTCCTTTGACTATCTCTCTAAAAATAAATAAAATCTTTTTTTTAATCACTAAAAACAAGTGATCCAAAACTTTCATTAGAGTCTCAAGGGAATCTGATCCTCTCCAAAATAGTAACAACCATTTGTTTATGTGCTTGGCTTGGAGGATTCAGAGGTTAATCAGACACCACACCTAGAGCAGAGAACCTAGAATCCCACCTGAACTCCTGTACTGAGAGCCTGCCTTGCAACACGCCTCCAAAGCTGCAAAGAAAGATCTATTCCGAGATAACCCTCCAAAGATGACAATGAGCCCTCAGGAGCTGATGTCTTTATCCCAGCTTTACCAAGGCGGGTGGGGTCGAGGGTAGGTCTTTTTTTAAAAATAATTTTATTGTTATTTTTAAGATTTTATTTTTAGGGAGGGAAGGGAAGGAGAAAGAGAGAGAGAGAGAGAAACAGCAATGTGCGGTTGCTGGGGGCCGTGGCTTGCAACCCACGTGTGTGCCCTGACTGGGAATCGAACCTGCGATGCTTTGGTTCACAGCCTGAGCTCAATCCACTGAGCTACGCCAGCCAGGGCGAGGGTGGGTCTTAGATGGGTTACATTGCCTCTAGGAACGCTCTCCCCTTTGCATAAAGGCCCCACTAGATACCCAATGACGGAATTTCTACAGTTCTTTTGTGAGTAGAATGTGTTGTGACAAATTAGAAATGAAGCCACCAGCACTGCTGAAGGGAATGAAATTTATACATACTTCCCTCTCATTTACCCAAGAAATATTTGCTGCCTGCCTACTGTAAGTAAAACATTTGCTAGGCGTTGAAGACACGATGGTAAGATACAGTGACTTCTTCAAGGATGGCAAAGTCTAAGGAGATGAAAAAGCAAACTGGCAACGAAACAGAAATAAAGTGCTTTGGTTGGGACGAATCCAGAGAACACTGAAGGGAACACCGGCTGGACCCAGTCTGGTGGGATCAGGGAAGGTTTCCTAGACAAGCCTGGTGTGAAAGCCGGAGGAGGAGTTGGCCAGAAGAGCAGAGAGGAAGAGATGCAACTTGGAGTGTGCTGCCAAGTGCAGGGGAAGTGCAGAGAGCGGAAGCTGAGGGGCCAGATCATGGCTGGCCTCCCCATAAATCACACCGCAGTAGTGTACTGTCTGCTGCTGGTGATGGGAAGTGGGAGGAGGCTATACACAAGAGTGGCAAGAAGGGATTTGCCCTTCAGGAAGCTCATTCGAGCTGCAGCAGGGCGAATAGACTGAAGGGGTTTGAAAACAGAAAAGGAGAGACTCATGAGAAGGCTGTTTCCATTAGGAAGACGTGGCTGCTAGTGCTCTGAATAATTGCAGCTAATATTTTGAGCCTTGTTCTCTCTTAATTTTTGCAACTCTATGAGGTAGATATAATTACTCCCAATTAACAATGGGAAACGCAAGGAACCAGAAGAGCTAAGTAGCTTGACCAAGGGCACATGGTAAGTAGTGGCAACAGAGCAAGGTAGGTGCACTGGAAAAATATTTAAGAGGTGGTATGGCCACTTCTGGATGACTAGTTTATTCAACTACTATTACTGACTGGGGGGTGGCTAAAGGAGCAGGAATTGTCGAGTATGATGTACAAGTTTCTAGCTTGGACAATTAGGCACTGAGTGAGTTAGGAAATACAGAGGCAGGTGGGGGTGGTAGAAAGAGGTAAGTTCAGCATGCAATTTGATTTTTAAGGAATGCCTGGGTAATGTCCAGGTGGAGATGTACACGAGGCAGCCATCTACAGGGGCTGGTGTGAAATTCAAAGTGAGAACTTGATGTCATCAGCTTCAATCCCTCTGAGCAGTATTAATAAAAAAACAAAACCATCTTTGGAGAAGCTGAAAACAATACAAACTTTGAACATGAAGCACTTAGGAAAACATACTACAGTAGCTTTAACCACGAAACAATTTTAGGTCATTACGGGGTAGTTTTTCTATCAATTTTACCCCTTGGGTTTTTTTTGTTTGTTGTCTTTTACTAATGGCCCTTTAAGTTTGCTATGGAGAAGCAGGCCTCCCCTCCCTCCCCCCCCAATCAGCTACACTACCACAGGGATGTGTATCTAACCAATGCTTTAGAGTCCTTTTCTCCTAGGGCACAGGAATTCCTTTTTGAACACTAACTTTGAAACACTAGGGCATCACTGAACAAATGATCATTTCAGGGCACTCAATGGGGAACTAATGTCCTGGAGGCAGAGCCCTCCCTAACCAACCCCTAGCGAGCAAAGAGGAAATCTTCTTTGTTATAATAATGATGAATCATTAACACATCAAATGGCCTTACAGGGAAGACTCCAGGTGAATTTCTGCAGGTGAACTGACATTTTCTTTTAATTTCCTTCCCAGAAATGAAAAATGCTGAACATGTAAAATGGAAAAAAAAAATTTAAAAAAAATGTTTCGATGAAATTTCTTTTCCAAGTGTTGTCCATAGATTAACTCAAGTTTTTCTTCCATGTTTGTATTTTTGCCCAACTTAAAGCACTTCTCCTTACCTCTACACCTAGACTGGCCCTTCATTTTTTTAAAAAAAGGTTGTATTAGAGAAAATTACTTGTAATTTGAAAATTGTGGACACAGCCTGGTAACACATAATCACTGCCATAATCACTTGCGCCAACTGCAAGACGGTGCAATTATGTCATAAACAGAGAGCTTTTGACTGTTTCTAAGAGTTATCTGTTCTGGAATCCCAATACTGGTTCAGTTGAAATTGTTTCAGTATTCTTAAGACTAAATATCTCCTTGAGGCAACAAGGCTTCCTTTCATTTTTCCTTTTGGATGTCCCTCCCCCCCTTCTGCAGAGCTAATGAGTCACTCCTACCAAATACAACCACGTTGCCTTGCCACCAGCCTAATCTTCACAGGAAATTGTTCAGGTTTTTGCATCTTCCCAAAATATGTTAATATCCAAGAGCTCACCAATGCGTGAAGACAATGTACTCCCAAATTTCCAGAACATCAGTACAAGTGCATGAATGTGAAGATAACTGCACACCAATTCAATGCATCTGACGAAAACCCATTTTATGAATTGGTGCTGGATTACTACAATAATTCTCAGCGTTTTGATTTTAAAAATTATACTTTTAATTATAGAATATTGTTAGAATAATACAGATATAGATCGACACTAGGATAACTGTGACCAATACCACAAGGAAAACTGCTCTACATACTTACTCATCCACTCTCCACAACCATAGAAAACAGGCACGAAGTGTTCAGGGTATGTGCAGAAGCAGCCAGGGTCTTGGGAGCAGAAGGCATGCAAAAGCATTAGCAAAGAGAGTCCGATGCATAACTTCTACGCAAAGTTCAACAAATGGGCAGCAACTGGCAGACAGAGAGGAGACGGAGCTGGTCTGGCCCTTGCCCTTTTAACTTCCCAGCTGGAGTGTACATGTATGGAGAGATGGCCGGGATACTTAAGATGCCAAAGCAGCAGCAGGCACAGGTTGGGGGTGGGGAGGGGCGGGGCGGGAGAGTAGGGAAGGAAAAGGAAGTGAAATAGAGTTATGTCATGAAGATACTGTCTTCTATGGCCACTCCAAGGCTGAGGCCCTAGGAGCTCACTGAAACAGAACTTTGATATTCATTAAAACCATCAGCAACACTGATATGGTACGAGACATATTTTAGTTTAGTCATCAAGAACATGAAAGTCATTCAACAACAATTAAAATATGAATACCCACAGTTGGCAAGAGTTTGTATAGAACAAAAAACACGCTCCCTGCCCGAGTTTGTATTTAAATAGGAGTGACAACAGAAAAAAAGCTCATCGGTGGAGTGGGATTTTTTGTTACTTTGGAGGTCGTGTTAGTCCCACACGGCTGTGGGTCGTAACTCAGTACAGTACACTACTTTAGAGAGACCACTGGCTCTTTTAACGCCAGCTTCCAAAGAGCTATGGCAAAAGTAGGTTTCAAATGTTAAAACTCTCACAATAAAGCACAGTAGAAGTAACTTGAGGCACACTCAAAAATAAACAATTTCCTTACTTGAATCCCATCTCCTGGGCATTAATTCCCTTCCACTCACACCCTCAAATACTTGGATAAGCAAAAACATTGGGGACACTTCTTAATTCTTAGATGGGCTGAGATGGGAGAACTGACACTACTGGGCTTACATTAAGTCAACTCTTAATCACTTTATATCTGTAGGCTGAGAGGATGAAAATACATTCCTATACGTTTACTAATTCCTTGTGACTAGCCCAAAGAGAAGATATTCAGTCTCAGAACAGGACAGTCAACCTATCCGTCCAGTCCTTATATCCCACGATGGGCTGATACATACGGACAAGTGCTTAGTTCTGTCCAAAGACAGACCTTACAAAAGAGCGTACACTAGAGCACTAGTGTTCACATTTTTTCTTCATAGAGTGAAAAGGACATTTCTCACATTGGAGTTATGTCTGTAGCTCTGCCACACAATCAACATCACCCGGTTACATGCTACTTCTGTGTGAGTTGTTTCTGCTATGGGAAAAACCACAGGAACACACATGTTACTGTACATACACATGCCCTTATGCAAGCTAAGAGAAACACTGGGACGTGGCCCTTATCAGATCCAGAGTTAATAGTATAGGGAGAAGGGACCTTAAAGGGCAGAGGGGAAAGAACACAGAAATGACCTGTGTTCCTTGGGAAGGGACTCTGTGCTTCCTTCCCTGAAGCCATCAATTCCACTTGCTCCTTACGCTCCACCATCACTTATGGTCCTATCTCTCCTTGAAGCTATTTTCATTGCAATGTTCCCTACAATGATCCCCAAAGAAAACGAATCAATTCTGATTAATGGCAATGACAACAGTGGGCATCACTTGCTAAAATCACCATCACTGATGAGTCCTTGGTCCCCAAACCTGTTTCATTTTTCCTTGCAATCCATATCTTCAGTTAGCTTTCACAAAAATGCAAGCTTTAAAGAAGCTAATTAGAAACAATGAGAAGAAAAGTTATGATCATTGCCTCCATAGTGCAGAATCCAGCTCTCAGGACGTCGGAAGGCTACAAGTGCATGAGCAACTCAAGGAGAAAGCCCTTTGGAAGGGAAGATGCGTGTGCCCAACTATGGTAAGTGAGTAAGTGTGGCCATTCATGCAAAGTCTCTTGTCCTTTTCCAAAACAGCTGTGACCACCCTATTACAGCCCAGCATTGCCCTCGGCACAGTTTTTGGAGCCAGGGCTAGGAGGAAGAACTTTTAAAAATTTACTCTACTTCCAGGCCTGAGTATTTATCAGCCTTTATCCCCTAGACTTCAGAGGTCCAGTTACATGTGGGGCTGATTTCAATGAAGTACTTCGTTAATACTGAGTGAATAAAAATCACTATGTTTAGGAGGGAATAACATTCCCAAAGCCATGGGTCAGAATTTCAAATGGCTTGTCTTCACTGACGTTTCAAACTGTGGCCTACAGCAAGGAAATTCAGTACGGTATAAGCAGCTCAGTCTTGAGAGAGCTCTCTAATAGCAAATAAAATTGTACCTTCAAGTGAATCATTTATCAGTCATAATTACAAGACTTAGTCAGTGTGAACTCTCTTATGTTTAATAAGAGCTGAGCTCCGGCTGAAACTCTTCTCACATTCAGTACATTCATAAGGCTTCTCCCCCGTATGAACTCTTTGATGTGTGATGAGGTTGGAGCTCTGGGTGAAACCTTTTCCACACTGCACGCACTCATAAGGCTTCTCTCCTGTGTGGGTTCTCTGGTGCTTAATGAGATCTGACCTTTCACCAAAGCTGCGCCAACATTCATTGCACTCATAGGGCTTCTCTCCGGTGTGAATTTTCTGGTGTGTGATGAGATGAGAGCTCCGGCTGAAGCTTTTCCCACAAGCGTTACATTCATATGGCTTTTCCCCGGTGTGGGTTCTCTGGTGCTGAACCAAGTGTGAGATGCGGCTGAAGTTCTCCCCACATTCGTTACAGTGGTACGGCTTTTCTCCCGTGTGGGCTCTGCGATGGCGCACGAGGTCCGAGTTCTGACTGAAGTTCTTCCCGCACTCGTCACACTTGTAGGGCCTCTCTCCCGTGTGGACTCGATAGTGCTTGATGAGATCAGACCTCTCACTGAAGCCTCGCCCGCATTCATTACACTCGTAAGGCTTCTCGCCTGTGTGTGTCCTCTGGTGCTGGGCGAGGTGAGAGCTCCGGCTGAAGCTTTTCCCACACTCCTCACACTCATAGGGTTTCTCCCCACTGTGGGTCCTTTGGTGTTGGATTAGGTGGGATAGCCGGCAGAAACTTTTCCCACACTCGTTACATTTGTGGGGCTTTTCTCCAGTGTGGATTGTCTGATGCTGGATGAGATGAGAGCTCCTTCCAAAACTTTTCCCACACTCGTTACAGTCGTAGGGTCTCTCCCCAGTGTGTGTTCTTTGATGCTGAATGAGGTGTGAGCTCCGACTGAAGCCCTTTCCACACTCGTAACACTTGTAGGGTCTATCTCCAGTGTGGGTTTTCTGATGCCGATTAAGGTCTGAGATCTGACTAAAGGCCTTTCCACAGTGAGAACATATGTGATAGCGGATACCTGTGTGAACCTCTTTGTGGACGAGCAAGTCCGTGACTTGCTGGAGAGGATAGCTGACCCACTCTTCTGCTGTCAGGTCTCCCCACTGTCCTTCCGATCTGTCCCTGCTTTCGAAGGCCTCTTCACTTTCAGGATTTTCTTCAGCATTCCCAACAGGTCTTTCGGATGCGGTCCCAAATTCTACATCGTCACTGATCTCTTGCTTTGGATTCACCTCGTTCTCACTCCTGATCTCAAAATCTGTAAGAGAGAGTAAATAATAATAATACTGAAAAACACACGAAAATTATCTACTGCGTGCCAGGCACTGTGCTAAGTCCTTTACATGAATTACCTCAATTGCTATGAGAGTCAGGCATGACGATGGTTTCTACTTTATAGACGAGAAATCCAAGACTAAGAGAAGTGACATCCAAAAGGTCATACTTACAGATACAGAGAACAGACCGACACGTATCAGAGGGGAGGAGGGTTGGGAGTTGGATGGAAAAGGTGAAGGGGTGAAGCAGTACAAATTGGTAGTTGTAGAACAGCCAGAGAGGTGCAGATTGCAGCATGGGAAATAGAGTCAGCAATGTCGAGATAACTGAGTACTGGGCCAGGTGGGTGCTTGGGGCAGTGAGGGGACCACTCTGCGGAGTGCATGGTTTTCCAGCCACTTTGCTGTACATCTGAATGGTACTTACTGAATGTAAACTGTGGTTGGGAAAAAAAACACCACCACAAAAGGTCATGTAGTAAATGATGGAGCCAATATTCAAATTCAGGTTTGTCTGATAAAGGTTCATGCTCTGTATCAATACTGTCAATGGTTCTTCATAAAAATTGTACATATTCCTGATTTTTCAAAAGGAAAAAACCAGAAAGAGAGAATATGAGACTCTAAATTAGAATTTCTAATAGCCAAGAGCCTAGATACTTTATGTATGAATGCATGTGTGTATATGTGTTTGTTTTTACCTGAGCAAGCCTTCATCATTATCATTATATAATATTTACTAAGAACCTTCTGGGTTAGCATGGAGAAAAATGATTTTTTATCTATTTATATCAAGGGTTTTTTTTTTTTAAGATCTTATTTATCCATTTTTAGAGAGGAGAAGGGAGGGAGAAAGAGAGGGAGAGAAACATCAGTGTGTGGTTGCCTCCTCCGCACTACCTACTGGGGACCTGGCCCACAACCCAGGCATGTGTCCTAGCCAGGAATCAAACCGGCAACTCTTTGGTTTGCAGGCTGGCACTCAATCCACTGAGCCACATCAGAAGGGGCTGTATCAAGTTTTAATTGACCAAAAAAGTGATTGATTGCCAAATAACACTTTCCAGTGATCTTTTAATGAAAATAGGGGTGGGAAGGTTGGAGAAGGCAAAAAAGATGCCTAGCGTAGGACATTCTTGGCATTGACTAAGTACAGTCTTCAAATGGAAGTCAAAATATACAACCACTGTGTACAAAAAAACTTTCTACCAGACACTGCATTTTCCAAACTGTGTTTCTTAGTACACTCTTCAGAAAGAGGTTACTAGGCATGCTGGGAGAAAAGGGTTCATGGATAAATTAGTGTGGTAAATGATGTGTGCAACATCTTCTTAGAAATTCACAGTGTCTGATAACATGTTAAAGGTTCTAAAGAGTCTTGACGCAAATAAGCCTTGTACACGTTATTTAACCCACTCCCAAACTTACTTGGGCGAAAACTTTTTTTTTTTTGGTGCTTCCATGCTTCCATCCTTAAGTGCTCCTTGGACTGAATCATAGACATATAAATGCATATTTCTTTAAGATTCTCACTTCTTATTTTTGTTGGATTAAGTGGAATATTTGGGTAACAGACTGCAATAGATCTGGGTATATAACTTCATTTCCGGTTGCTTTTCTAAAGGAAGGATCCAAGAAACTTGGGAAATCAGAGAGAGCCTGAGTTAAAAAGAAAACCCTTCATATTTGCCTTTTGTTCTGGAATAGGCTCTAGGAATAAAGATTTCAAAGACAGGATTAGTCTTTAATGAGTGGCAGATGACCCAGTGAAGCTCACATGTTGTTAACTTCTGTTGAGTCTGAACAGGAGACAGAGTGAATTTAAAGGCCGTTCAGCTCAAGAACATACTATTTGTTCTGGTTATACTCAGACCAAAGGACAGCTAAGAGAAATGACAGGTTTGCTGATCATTAAAAAAATTAGCTTCCCTCGCCAGTATACCAATTTGTAATCTCATTTAGTTCAGGATTTTCCTGGAACAACATCTGACATACTCAAATCTATGCTCAACTCTGAAACATCTCTAGACAAGGACCTACCTACTCCAGATACAGGACCTAAGGCAAAGCTAGGGCTCTGAAGCCAAAATAAATACAGAAAGGTGGCTTTTGTCCTCTCATGAACCTGGGGCAGAACCCTCTCATCTTCTAGTAAAAGCATTATTTAGGGTGAGCGCTTAAAAATTTTATTTATCTATTTTTAGAGACAGGGAAAGGAGGGTGAAAAAGAGGAAGAAAAACATGGATGTGCGAGAGATACAGAGATTGTGTTGCTCTTTACACGTCCCCAACTGGGGACCTGGCCTGCAACCCAGGCATGTGCCCTGACTGGGAATTGAACCCGCCACCTTTCAGTTTGGTTCACAGACTGGCGCTCAATCCACTGAGCCACATCAGCCAGGGCTATGGGGGTATTTATATCCTGGACACCATTTTATCAGATATGTTTGGTCAGTGACCTGTACAAACAGGCTGGGAAAAGGCAAATGTCTCAGGGCATGAGAAATCTAAATGTTTTTAAAATATGCAGAAACATTCTTTCTTTTTAGACAACATGACCCTGATGTCCCCACACTCAAATATTTCTGAGGACTCAACTCAAGCCACTACCCAGTTAAGTGCCTTAAAAAATCAAACAACTAGGTTGTGTTGAAAGAACTAAGCCATTTTGGACACAGCCTCAAAAATGTGGGGTGAAGAATGGAAGAGAACCCTTACTTACCTAATGAGACAACATTTCCATAATTCTCTTGCATAACATCCCTGTAAAGGTCCCTTTGTGTAGGGTCCAGGGGTCTCCATTCTTCCCGGGTGAGGTACATGGCCATGTCTTCAAATGTCACGGGTGCCTGAAATCACACAATGCTTCCTCATTACTTGGTGTCTCAGAGGTTATGACCAGTTTTTCTCCTTGAAATTACAGACTGGGCTAGAACTGTTGAGGAAGCAAAACGTATTAAGTCTGCTTTGTAGAGTCCAAAGAGGAAATAAAAAAGCTAGAAAGAGATATAGTAAAGAGGGGAGCAATTTGCAAGCTAATTGCTCTGGTCAAATGACCAGATATCCCTGACCAACACCAGAACCTTACCCTCTAGCTGTACTTTGCTCAGAACACATCTAGCACCTATACCTTTCGCTCAATACCTTTGCTCACACTGTTCCTCTTTTCCTGGAATATCTTTCTTAAACTATAGATATCCTACTATTCTTATTTTTCCCCCAGATGAGGAAAATCTTTAACTGACAAATATTTAATTGACAAAGGGTTTTAAGAAATAAAAAGAACGCACGAAGCGAAATAAGTTACAAATATAAGAAAGAGCTGGGCTTTATATTTGGAAATATATGATCTGGAAATTCTACTCTTCTTTTAGGCCCTGTTCCGGTTCCAACTGTTCTTGAGTGCCCCTCCTCCCTCGGACCCCTGAGATAGAATTAATGACTCCCACTCCTTCGTTCCCACACAGCACTTTGTTCCTACAGAAAACAGAGCTCTTATCACGTTGTATCACGGTTAACCAGAGGCATCCATCTCCCTATAGATTGTGAGCAAGGGCCCGTTTCATCCATCTTTTCTCTCTCCGGTATTTAAAGGCATAAGGCAGGTGTTCAGTAAATGCTCGTTTGTGGCTAAACAGGTCTGGTACCGGGTCCCTGGAGGCATAATACCGAAACGAGCTAATTACTAATCCCAGGAAAATTCCCACAGGTACTTGCAGAGCAAAGAAACGCCGGGACCAGGTGGGTAAGCCGAGGCAGGGTCCGCGAAGCCACCCCTGGCTTACCTGGGACCCAGCCATAAGCAGGGTGGCTGCCATCTCGGGCTCAAGGATTCGCCTCCCAGGAGAGAGAGCAGGAAAAGCAGCTAGCAGACAGCACTAAAGAAGGCGAAAAGCAGGGCGTGAGGCACAGAAAACAGGCCCTGCCCACTCCCCAGGGCTGGAGTTCTGGCCGCCAGGCGGCTGGGGAGGGCCCTGGGCCCGGGCAGGGTCACTCTCCTCCCTGACCCTAGAGCGCTACCCGCCCTCTGTGTCTCCACCACCATGGGGTGGAGGCAGTGCCGGAATTTACTAGGACAGCTCCCTGGCAATGTCCCTGCCGGGCCGGGGGTCAAGCCGCTGCAGTCTCAGGGAGGAGGCTCTCAGCCCAGCCCATGGAACGCCTCCGCTCTTGCATCTCGAGGCTGGGCCCTTTCCGGCAGCTGCCTCAGCCAATCAGCGAGCGAAGCTCGAAAAATGCTCTGCCAATCAGAGGCCGAACACTAGGCCAGCCTCTTGTAGCATGACTGGGAGCCTCTATCACGCCTGCGCCTGCCCCTATGGCCTGTCGGGAGTTTGAGTTCCATCCCGGCGTACAAAGGCCAGTTAGGGGCCAAAAGCCAAAGGAGGGAAAAGAACAAAAGGGTAAAAGAAAAAGTGCGTCCTCCTAGCCTAGACAGAGTATCTTCTGCTTTCTTCTGTTGGAGACAAAAGCCCGATTAAAGCAGGGAAGTTGCCCTGCTTCTCCTCACGTCCCTAGAAGCTTATCTTGAGTAGAACCTTAATTGCGACGTCAGGCCTAATTTAGGCGCTGGCCTGAGTTAGCTTTCTCTGGGATTAGCGCTCATTTGGCAGCCGGGGCTAGAGAGGAAAGAGGCAGCCGCCCACTCCCCAGGGGAGACTCTGCAGCCAAGCTAGAACTTTGAGCTCGGCTCACGCACTACATCTCCCAGCAGCGCCCGCGGCATTCGCACGCTGCTACGGAGACTGCAACTCCCAAGGGGCCCCGCGCCAGCGAGGATTAATGAGTGGGGTCCTTGGCTGGGCCAGGCGGTGTCCAAACTCCACCGCTGTTAACCCTATAGGGGAGTCTGACCGCGTCCTTCCAAAGAGAGCGACCCTTAAGGGATGGGCTGAGTTACGCCCAGCAAAGGAAAAGCCAAAACCCTGAGCAAGGGTCGGGGGATAGGGCGCGTGAGGAGGAGCGAGCCAGGCAGACTTCAGACTGGGAAGGGCCGACCTTACCATCCTGAGGGCTGTCTGCCCCAAGGGTTCTTGGCGGCCTCCGGCAGTAATTGAGCCTCTGAAGGCTTGAGCCGGCCCCTCGGGATATTAGCCCACCCTGATCGGCTGAAAGTGGGAAGCCGAAAACCCGAGCTGAGAACGAACAGACTTACCTCCTGGCGTGTAAAAGACCCACTAGATCCCTGCTCCAAGATCCGAGAGACCCTAAACAGATTCCAAATCCGCAAGCAGAGTTCTTTGAGACTTCAGGCGTTCGGAAAGATTCTAGAGATAGCTACTGGCAGATCCCGGATATTTCAGACCCGCAAGTAGATCTCGATTCCGTAGACTTGCAGGCAAAACCCAGAGATTGTAGGCGGATCCCACAGATTCTTAGGCAGCTAAGAAACTACAGACTCATAGGCAGATCCCTCTGAGACCACAGTGGCTAGCCAAGGAACACCACCAGCAGCTAAGCTGCATTCAGCTGGATTTCTTCCGAACGGAAGGACTTGCAGCCTTCCCTTTCCCCAGCCAGGATGAGAAAATTAGACAATGGAAGCCAAGCACTAGGCATAGCAGGCATTCTGCGTGGGGAAGAGCTCTGAGCTCGCTGTAGCCTTGGAGAGGGAAGTGATGGAAAAAGAATATAGCAGCTTATTAGGGACTCCCACCCTCTTCAAGTTATAAATATCCCCAGAACCTTGGCTACGTGCCCAGAAGCCTGTTGTCTCTAACTGTACAGGAGACTTCTCTGCCTGCTCTGGGAAAGGGGCTTTGCTTTTGTTTTGCAGATACATCCACCCACTGAGTGACTTGAATTTCTTTTCTCGAACATAACTCCAGGCTATGCTTTTATTGGTGAGTGTCCTGTTCCCAGTGCCCAGTTATTTATGGTTAAATTACTCAAGTGTCTACAAAGAACTAGGGCTCTACTCAGCCATGAGGCAGACTCTCCTCCTCCTCACCCCTAACTGTGAGGGTAGGAATTCTTTAGATACCACAGAATTGTACCATTATACCCCATCCAGAATCGGTATGGGTATCACCACCACCACCACCACAAAAGAAAAGAGCCACAGAGGGTCCCCCAAAAGCAGTCAAGATCAGACACACCTGGGTTGTGATCCAGGCTGTGTATCCTCTGGAAAGTCTTTTAATCTCTCCAGGCCCATTTCCCTTTCTGTAAAATGGGGTGATCACACCTAAGGTGGCGGTGAGCACCACACGAGATGACTTTGAAGTGAGGACTCTTATGATAGTTGTTATTAATCACTCTTATGGTGACTTCCAGAGAGGCCCGTGGACATTTCCACTGGCTCAGAAAATCTGGGAAGTCAGAATAGCTTGATAGCTCTGAGTTTCTGCTGGTGACCTTACCCTTACATAATGTTTCTGCTGGAAATCCAGAAGGAACTGGTAGATGGACCAGTGTGGTGAATTGAGCCCAGTAGAGCAGAGGTATTTAGAGCTGCCAGGAACCCAGCAAGTTAAGGTCTCACCCTTAGGAAACTCTCTGGGATAAGAGGAGAGAGATCGGTTCCTACTGTGGCTTAATAACTGCAGGTATCTAACTGGGGCTCAAGTGAAGTAAGCTGAGTGGCCAAGCCCCTTAGCTCAGCAGGGCTTGCTTTTCATCCCTTCTCTGACAGATTGCTTTGTAAACTTTCTCAGGCCTTTTCTCCCCTCTTGCTCCAGTGCTTTAAATCCTTCTTTGTCCTCTGCTGTTTCTTTTATTCCTAGGCCTGGCTGGGGGCAGGGCGACCCTCTAAACCCAGCCTGGCTGCTAGTCTCCTGTAAGTGTTGTTCTCTTTCTTCACCTGGGATCCTCCAGAGGGTGTAGAAGAGAGGCTGAGAAAGATGGAAAGCGTGACTGCTTTTCGTGCCCTGGAGTGGGGGGCTGGGGGTAGCGGGGATGAAAGAAGGGGAGGAAAGAAAGCGGGTGAGGGGCTTCCTGTTGCAGCTTTCAGCTGGACCCTGAGGGTTGAGGTCACTGGAGGAGGAGGTGGCTTCCTGCTCATTGTTCAGGACTTCATTGTTTCTCGGGAATACTTATTGTGTGCGGGTTTTCAATAACCAACTTGGAAAACTGTGTTTGCCCCATGATTCAGCAAACAGCGAGCACCTACTGTGTGCAGAGAGAGCAGCACAGCCTATCCCTGGGGAAAGGGGCCAGAAGAACCATTTGTGCAGGGTCTCCAGATGGAGTTGCAGGTTATGTCAGATCCACTGACCAATTTGATTGAAGACCCTCCTTGTACGTCCTTAAGCTTGTTTCTTATTAATAGGCCACCCTGACTATGGAGCCCTGTAAATTGTTGTTTTAATAAATCCTGTCATTATCTTGTGAGCTGCACAATTATGTTGTGACTTTTTTGTACTAGAAGTATTAATTTGTTAAACATTTAAAACTGTGCCTCAAAATTTGTGATGTCGTTCTGTCATCTCTTCATTTTCAAATTATACCTGGAATATAAAAAAAAAAAAAAAACTGAAGTGACCCGGGCTTCTCTCTTGACCCTGCTAGGGGCAGTGAGGAAGCCCCAACACAGCACAAGGAGCTGGGGACACGGGGGACACACCGACTTGCAGTCATTGCAGTCCAGCTGCTAGAGTGTGAGATGATGAGCTAGCTGGTGTGCACCAAGGAGAGGGGCGAACTCAGCCGGGGGATGGGAGGACGCTTCGCGGAGGAGATGACATCTGAGCTGGCTTGCCAAAACTGTAGGAGTCTTGTAGGTGGAGAACAAGGGGAGGGACGGACGGCATTCCGGTCTACGAGAACAGCATGTGCAAAGTCATGGAGGCATGAAAGGACAGAGCGTTTCCAGGATGGTCAGGATTGGGGACGGCTAAAGGGAAGAGTGTGGGAGTGGAGTGACAGGGGGAGGAAGCAGAGGAGGACAGTCTCTTATGTTCCTTTGTCTGCCTGCCTGCCTGTCTCTGCCTTTGGCTGTGGATCAGCCAAGCTGGTGCTGAGGTGCAAATGAGGGGGCAGCTGGGGGCTGGCCTGGGGTGAGAAGAGCAGATTGACCCTGCAGGAAGACGGGGGAGTGGAGAGATTAGGAAACTCTTTGTGACCTCATGCGTTTCAGCTGGTTTTCTCCTATCAACGTAAAAAAAAAAAGTAAACAATTGCATTAAAATGGTACAACAAACTTATCTCATTTGTTTAGCCTGCTTAAAAGCATCAGATAGGCCCATAGTCACCAAACGTGTTTATTGTGTCTCTGTTTAGTACCATAGACTGTGCTGGGAGATAGGACGCCGCCCCCTCACAATGACTGCAGGGCTTCTGTGAAGACTAAATGTGAGAATGGCTGCAAACGCATGGGCACAGAGGAAGTTCTGGATCCGCAGTGGCCATCACTGTTGGGGGGGAAGCAAATGAATCATGCTGTGAGCTGAAGCCACATTTCCGAGTGGCTCAGAGCAGGAATAGGGGCCTGGGTTCAAGTTCAGATTCTGTCTCCTGGAACCAAATGACTCTCTGAACCTTGGTTTTCCCAGTCTGTAAAAAGAGTATAATAATACAATTTCTAGAGACAGAAAATAGAATAGAGCTTGCCAGGGGCTGGGGGAAGGGGGAAATGGGGAATTGTTTCATAGGTGTAGAGGTTTGTTTTGCAAGATAAAAGTGTTCTGGAGAATGGCTGGACAAACATGTGAATGTACTTAACATTACTGAATTGTACGTAACCTTAAAAATGGTTAAGGTGGTAAATTTTACATTACGTATATTTTACAATAAAAAGGAGTGTAATAGTCACGGCTGGTGTGGTTCAGTGGATTGAATGCCAGCCTGTGAACCAAAGGGTCGCTGGTTTGATTCCCAGTCTAAGGCACATGCCTGGGTTGCGGGCCAGGTCCCCTGTTGGGGGCATATGAGAGGCAAGCACACTTGATGTTTCTTCCCCTCTCTTCCTCCCTCCCCCTCTCAAAAAATAAATAAATAAAATCTTTTTTTTAAACGCATATAATAATGTGATCTAGTTCAGGGTGTCTCAGGGTTGGCTGAGCAATATAAAGTGCTCCCCTGTACTCACAGTTGCGTAACAGCTCACATTTACTAACCAGGTCCTAGGTGTCAGGCATGATTCTAATGAATCCTCACAGCAATCCTTGGAGCTGGGTGCTCTTGTACCATTTTACAGATGAAAAGAGGAGGCATGGAGAAGTTACACAAGGTGTCCAAGATACCCAGCTAGCAAATGCTTAAGAACTAAGAAATTATTGTTGACAGGCACTGTCACACAAAGAGTCCGTCATCATTGTTACCGTCATGGCAGAATGCAGTGTAATCACTGGAGTTTCACACGCTCTGGGAGTTCTGAGGGACCATCTCTTGTGGCCAGGAGACTTCACAGTAGATGTGCAGTACACCTGAGATGAGCCTTGAAGAACAGGTAGGATTCGGACGGGGCAGGGGCGAGACAATCAGAAGAGGCAGTCACGTCTGGGAAGGTCCATGAGGTTTTCAGGAGCAGGGCCATAGCTCCGTTAGGCTGCAGCGGGTGGGCAGCGGGGATGGAAGACACGCCACCAAAGGCAGAAGGCAGGTGGAGGGGGACTTACAGAGGCAAACCAAGGGGTTTGCATTTTCTTCAGCAGCTGGTAGAAACCCACTGAAGGTGGTTGGGGAAGGCCATGGAGGGGAGAGGCAGGTAAGGGAGGGAGTGCTTTGAACTGGGAGATGAGCGGAAGGTCTCTGTGTAAGTCCAAGAAAGCAAGCCGGAAAGACAGTGTTGATAGGGATGGCAGTGGGGAGGGGCTGGACAAGTGGGAGACTGTACAGCTGCTGACCGGGAAAGGGAAGAGGGCAAGGGGAGAGGGTCAAAGATGGTACAAGTAACGAACTAGTAGTTGAGAGAGAGAGAAAAGGCAGAAGAGCGGATTTAAGAAAGAAGTTGTGAGTTCAGTTTCAGATTGATGGTATTGAGGGGCGGGGGCACCGTTCTTGGGGGAGATGTCCAGATGGGCACTTGGTGGCTTCAGTCTGGAGCTCAAGAAAACTCGGGGCTGAAGTTAGAGACCTGGTAGTCTGGACTGCTAAGAAAGACTTCTGATTCCATATAGTGCTTCAGGTTCCTGTAACCTCTTGAACCCTCTTCTCAATTTGTCATAGGATCTTGAATGTGCTTTTGTTTCCAAGTTCTTTTGGCCGTAACATTCCTGGTGAGACCTTCCCTCCGCCATCCCAATGTCTGTGTTCACCCACCCTGACCTTGTCTTTTTGCTCCTGTAAGGCAGCCAGCTGCCCTCCCTTTGGAGACCTTCCTGGGTGGCAGCAGTTAGTGCTAACTCCCTGGCAGCTCACACCCTCGTTGTCTTGGAGGTCAGGCTGCTTCAGGATGGTCTAACACGCTGGAGGCGGTTTCTCATCTTGGATGGGAGGGTGGAGATGGAGTTAAATCGTGTATTCCAACTGACAGTGTGTGCAGACTGTGGGGCGAGAGGAGCATGGCATGGCCAGTGTGGCCGGAGCACAGTGTGTGGGGGCGGGTCCAAGGCCAGCCCCTCGGGCCTTGCAGACCCTGCCAAGAGCAGTAGGGAGAGAAAGGAAGGAAGGTTTTACATGGGGGTGGTAGAGTAGGGGGCTGTGACAGGCGAGATTTGCAATGTTGGATGCCTATTCTGGTCTGCACAGTGGGGCGCAGGAATTGCAGTGGGTCTGGGGGTGGGGGCGGGACACAGGAAGAGCGGGTGGGAGGGCATTGACACCTGCTGGTGCGCACAGTCTGAGGCCTATTCATACTTGTCTGGGTCTTTCTATGAATGTCGATGGGTACTGTATAGATGGGCGGACTGGAGCCAACCAGTTCTTTTGCTGTTTATTCTGACTCATCTCCTCTGTAAAGAGTGAGGTTATTAAGGGTGGACAGTCAGTTCTGTATTTTTTCCTAGGCTGTAAATCCCTATGACACGGGGAGCTCAGCGAATATTTACACAGTGACTACTGAATATCGCCCCAGGGTGCCCCCTTTAAAAAGCCCAAGAGTGACAGGTATTGACAGTATTAAATTGATAGTAGTTGCTGTTTTGTTCTGCTTTTGTTTTCCAGACATTTAGATGTCAGACTAGGTAATGCAGAGAAAGATCTGGATATCTAAACCCTTAGTACTCAAGTGTGGACCAGCAGTGTGGGCATCACCCGGAATCTTGTTGAAACTGAGAAATCTCAGGCCCCACCCCAGACCCACTGAATCAGACTGTGCATTTTAGCACAACCCCCAGGGCATTCCCAGCCATATTAAAGTATAAGGAGCTCCTGGGTATCCAAGCAGCGCCCTCCACACTTCTACAGGTAATATCCATACCTCGGACATGCATCACATCCCGTCCGGTATGGAAGTCTGTGCCTGTGACTTCTTTTCCCGCCAGGCCGGGAGTTCCTGGAAGGCACCCACCGACCATTGTGTGTGGTCCTGGATCTCTCATTGCATCGAGCACAATGACAGGAAGCAGAAGACCTGGGTTTCGGTCCTGCTCCTGCCATTTAAAGCTTGTGTGTGTTGCATCTTCTGTGAGAGGATTTTCAAGCCTTCCAACAGACTCGCCCCAAATCTGACTGTTGAAAAACCGAAGATGGTGGCAGATTTCTGTACACGGTTTATTCACAGGATTCATCCAGGAGGAGGTACTTGGTGGGTGGAAGGAGGCAGGTGGTCACCAATTCAGAGTGGGTGATGCTCAGGGCATGTAAAGAACTCGGGCTGAAGTTCCTCCAGGCAGCTGCCCTAAGGCTGTACCAAGGCAGATGGAGACCCAGCGGCCTCTGCACAATCACCCTACGAGGTAGGTGCTAGACCACTCCTGTTTTTACAAGTAGGGGAACAGCTCAGAGAGGGTGAGTGACCTGCCCAGGCTCCCAAGAGCTCATGGGCTCCTGCACGCAAGCTGTTTTAGGGAGCACAGCACCCAGGAGGCTTAGGCTGGGGCTGCCGGAAGGCCAGGGACAGTCATAGGAGGAGACCCCGGACAGGCCCCCCACACCTGCTCCCAAGCCTTTCCCAGAAGACTCCAGCTTTGCCTAAGGCACCTTCCTATCAGCTGAAAAAGTAAGCTGATGTCACCATGGCAGAAGCATGACAAGGACCCTCACCCCACAGACTTTTTCTGGAGCTTGGGCCCCAGATAGCACAGGGATGACGCATTGCCAAGGCCAAGGCAGACTCTTGGGTTCAGGACCTTCCAGTGGCCACGGAACTGAGGGGCACCACTGTACCCTTCAGGCAGAAAGACTCAGTTCAAGATGATCCGCTCCCTGCCTCAAAGGCCCCAATGCCAGCTATGAACAGGGAATAACAGAGCTTGGGAAAAGATGTGGAGTAGGGAAAAAAATCTTCCTACATGGCATGGAAGTCATGTCTGCCTGAGCCAAATCGCGTGCCAAGGGTTCTGCGTGCATGACTCTGGGGTGGGGTGCAGTAAGACTTGCGTCAGTCTTTTAGTTTTCAATTCAAAAAAGGCTGGGAGGTTCGGATGTGAGGGAAGGGGCCCAAAGCAAAGGCCTGCCAGCTACTGTCAAAGAGTTGACACCTCTTAGCATGGCAGCCCAATTAGGCTCCCTCTGTGAGCTGATCGTTATCAGTGACCGATGGTTAATTTGCAAAAGGATTCTCCCTCTGATCCCTAGTACCCCATTCAGAGTTCAGCATTTTTTTTTCCAGTTTCATTTTTTATTTTTTTCTCCAGTTGTGATGGCTTAGTGCTTTCTCTTTGTTCTTCCTCAACTTGTTCACTGAAATCCTGGCTGGCAGGTCTATCAGCAGAACTACAAAACCAAAAAGGCAACACAATTTTAGAGTTTTCCCTGTGTCACCCAAGGAGGCTGGGGGCAGAGGGAAAGGACATGGAAAAGAAGGTAAGGGCTGGAACCACACAGACCAGCGTCCAAATCCAAGTTCCGCCATTACTGGCTGTGGGACTTGGAACAAATCACTCATCAGTAGAATGGGGTCATAATGCTGGCCAATGGGAGAAGGGTATCAAGTAATGAATGAATGAATGGAAATTTGATGCCAGACATGTGGTGGGCTCTCCATGCATGGTCAAACTATCACTGTGATTATCACTAATCACTTGATTAGACTTTGGGCCCTCCCTATGGCAATGGACACTATCTGAAAATGGTGTCAGAAGCCATGTAGCTGCCACCTCGAGTGGGCCCAGCCTCTCCAACGAATGGGGATAAGGGGGAGGGGCTGGTTTTACAGTAGGCAGACTGTCCTTTGTCTGACAGGGACAATGGCAAGAGCCATCACTTAGTGAGCACTCGTTCTGCACTAGGCAGTGTGGGCATGTATTAACTCATCTTGTCCCGACAGTCACTCTGGGAGTTGGGCACTGCGCCGCCCCCATTTTCACAGGTAAAGAAGCAATGCAGAGAGGTTAAGTGATTTGCCGAAGCTCCCATAATGCTAGTGGGTGACAAACAGAACAATAGGAGTAGTGGTTTCCATGTGCCAGGAACATACATGCCTGGGGCTTTTTTATGGTTGTATAGGTGGTGCATGGCACAAGACAGCCTGGCAAAGGGACTGAAACTCGGCCCCTGCTCTGTTTGCCGAGCTCCGCACCCTGGTGCAAGCTGTGTCTGCCTGGAAGCAGGGGCAGCTTGTCCTATTTTGACAAAGATACCATATGAGCTATCAAAGATCCTATTCATGCCTCATGGATAGCACCTTCCCTAGTCCCCACAGCACGTCTGTGAGCTAGATATAAACATGTCCACTTTAGAGAGGAGGAAATCCAGGCCGAGAGTGTTCAGGCCACTTAGCCAAGTCACTGTGAGTGATAAAACCAGGATCTGAACCTGATGCCGAAGCCCGTGCTCTGGACCACGAGGCCGCTCTGCTGGCCCTGGCCCTCAGTGCTCAAAGGATGAGTGAAGGGAAAACACACAGTCGCCTGGCTTCTACATTAAAAAGATGGCAGGTCCAATGAGGCCCCAGGGCTGTCGAGGCTCTCTGTGAAGCTGTAGAAGCTCAGCTGACCAGGACTTTGCAGCCTCGTCTTTCAGTGCCCCCCAACCGCGTGACCTTATGCTTGTTAAGCATTTCGGTAGCTCAGTTTCCTCATCCAAAAGTGAGAGTGGTAGTATAAAGGAACACTTCTCATAGCTGTGCGTGCACATGTAATCATCTTCATGTCAATCATTGGAGAAAGGCATGGTCATCACCCTTTTGCTCAGGGAGGTCAGTAAGGTGCTCAAGGTCACACGGCAAATAGGGCTGAGTGGAGACCTGAAGCCAGGGCTTCCGCCTCCCAGTCCCATGCTCAGGCTGGGGCTCCTTGCTAAGGACCCTCGCACTGTTGGAGTGTCTGCAGCCTGCCGGGTGGCCCAGACACCACACACAGCACAAGCAAGTCGGGCGGTACTGGAAACTGACATTAATCACGTGACCACATGGCAGGAAGGAGCACTCTGGAGGAGTTTTTGCTCAGCTCCCATGTCTGGGGCAGCCCAGCATAATGTGAGCTTCTCCAGGGCTGCCTTGGGAAGGGAGGATGACCCGGGAGTGGGGGGCTGGAGGCCCCTCTGACAGGGCCCAGCCTTCCTCATCCTTGGCGGTGGCCAGGTTCAGAGGAAACGACATCTGTTAAAGCACTTTGGAAAGAGGTGCGGTCCACAAGCAGAGCGCTATTGTTTTTCCTCTGTGGATCTGGGTGGGTGGGGTGGGGAACGACCGATTCCATGTGCGCTGAGAAGACAGTTCTGCCCATCCTCTGATAAAGTGTGGGCTGCTGCTCCCATCCCAGCTGGGTGCCTTCCAAGATGAACATGTGCACGTCCACTCCCTGCCTCACCACCACCAACCCACCTCGATCTCTAGCTCTGCAGACCTGCTCTGCACAGGCTGCTAAGCCCACCCCCCCCACCCCCGTGCATGAGGCCCCTCCTTGGCTGTGGGTACACTACTCCTATTGTGGGACAGCATCTGTGGATGATGAGTTTGGGGGTAGGGAGAGGGAGAAAGATACGGACCTTCCAGCGATTGCCGCACTCATTGCATAAGACGAAGGTAGTCATGGGCTCATCAGCGCTTCGTGTCTGCACCTGAGACAGACAGACGACCACTCATGAAGTCAGTCCCCTGCCCCAGGACCTGCCATAGCTCCCACTGTCTGCAGCAGTAGGTCCGAATCCCAGAGCTTGGCACTGTTATTTCCACCCCAGTTTGGCATTCCCCTTTATCACTGAGGACTCTGTGACATGTATTAACGTGTATCCTCCTGTCCTCCTGCAGGTCCATCAGCTCACTTTCAGTAGCTCACTGGCTGGCCTCTGCACTTCCACTCTTGTTGAGCCTTCTGAACTGATCTCACTTCTCTTGTCTCAAGACTCATCTCCTACAGGAAGCATTCCCCAACTCTCCTCTGCACATGCCCCATTGGGTGAGCTGGAAGCACCCCTAGAGATCACATAGATCGCTCAACTGTGATTGATGTCAGTTGGGAGTCTATGGGGTGGGAGGTAGTCCCCGGCTACTGAGGGAGCATAGCCTTGTCCCTGGAGAGCAATGACACCCGAGAAAGGAGAACATCGGGGTCCCTCAGTGCAGAGAAAACTTTGCTGATGGGCAGTGTGCTTGTGGTGGGAGGGCAGGCGCAGGAAGCCCGCCCCTCCACGGGGAAGTGTCTTGGGGGAGAGCAGGAGCTTGCACAACCATCTCTGAATTCCTGAATCGGCATTCTCTGGGGGATGATTCCTGAGGGGCGAGGCCGCCTGTATGTCTGCTGTAGCCACAGGTCCCCACTGGCAAGGTGCTCTTGATACATATTGCTTGCTGAGCAGGTGGGAGATGGAATAGAGGTCCGGAATGACTAGGTACCAACTATAATCCAAGGCCATTGGTGCCCCAAGGTCATAACGTGTGCCACCCGGAAACAGGGGGTGGTTTTCTGGTGTTTAAACCAGAGAAGTGGCCTCCATAGCCCACGTGGCTCCCCACACAGGGGCAGGGGTCTTCATGCTTAGGACTCAGGGCCAAATCCCTTAGGCTTTATACACCGAGTTGGGTGTAATGCAGGCACAAAAGTTAGATCTAGATTTATTACTATCTCTGCCACCTTGGACGAAACTGCAAAGCTTGTCCCCTGTCAGGGCCTCGGTTTCCCTGTGTGTAAAGGGAGGGGGTGGAGTTTTACAGTGCCACATTCCCTTCCAACTGCCTGTGACTCTACAGTTCTGTGCCCGGTGAGTCTGGGTCCCCCTAGTCTTGCTTCAGGCCCAGCCAGAACACGCTGGCCAAGCCTCCTCGATACAAATCTGGGTGACTGTACATGCAGAAGAACATTTTCTAGAAGCCACGGGGACACATTGGTGTGCAAGACTTGCCCTTTTCTCTGCAGCCTGGAGTTTTAACCCTTCCCCCTCTGGCTGTTCCCTGAGCTCTCTCTGGCTCATCATCTCTGTGCCCCTGTAGCTTCCTCCACCGTGGGCCCCTCCCCTCATCACCTTACCTGGTTGTAGGTACAATTCTTCTTCTTGCATTTCTTGCACTGGAAGAGGTCAGTGGTGGTGCCGCCTGTTTTGGCCATCTGGTGCTCACGGATAGCCTCCTGGGTCATGGCATTCCTCAACTCCCGCAGCTCATCACTGGCCATTTCCTGGAGAGAAACAAGTCTGCCCTTCAGGGCCAGGGGGTCCCGGGGGTCCTGCCCCACATCTGGTTTCTAGAGAGCCCGAACAGAGGAGGGGGAACGTGCTGGATGGAGCACAAGGAGCTGGAGGGAGGCCTGGACTCTTGGCCCTGCCCCAGCTGGGAAAAGTCTGTACGCAAAGAGTCTCCATTCTGCCTTTGGGCGGAAGGGCAAACCTTGGGGGCTGTGGCTGGGCCGAGCGCAGAGGGGCGAGCACAGGAGAGCAGAAGGCAAACAGCTTCTGCCCCCGGGTCAACGCCCTTTCATACGTTTCCTCAAAGCTGGTGCTCACCCAGCCTGCCAGGGCCTTGGGCACCTGCCTGAACCCTCCTCTTGGAGCTGACTTGACCGGTAACCATCTGATCTGATATTGTCCTTATCCTTCCAGTCTGGACATGACCCGCAGCCTGTCCAAGCTGTGATCACTTTCCAGCCCATTCAGCCTTGTGGGAACCATGGTCTCACTATGACTTGCTGTTGCTGTCCCCACCCACGCAGCACCTGAAGCACCTGGGTTCACACTACTAACTGCTCACCTGTGAGCGTATCACAGAACCTAACTTCAAGTTCCTACAGAACAGACTCTCCTGTCTTGCGTCAAACACACTGCAGACACCCAGGGTCCTCATTGTCCCGGTCCTTCCCCTCTTTATCCATCTCCCTTGCCGTCCGACTCCTCTTCTGCCTCTGCCGGAGGAGAGCGGAGAGGAGGACACTCAAACCTAAGAGAGTTCTTGTTAAGGTTGGTTTGGGAGAAGCAGGACGGCAGAGGCTAATGCTAAAATGAGTGAGGATTTGGTAGTGGCTAAACATTTTCATTGTTGCTTTCAACCTTGACTCTTTAAAGGTTTTATTTATTTATTTTTAGACAGAGGGGAATGGAGGGAGAGAGGGTGGAAAATGTCAATGTGTGGTTGCCTCTTGTGCATCTCTACTGAGGACCTGGCCTGCAACCCAGGCATGTGCCCTGGGAATCGAACCAGGGACCCTTTGGTTCAGAGGCTGGCGCTCAGTCCACTGAGCCACACCAGGCAGGGTTACCCTAACTCTTTAAACTGAGACCAGAGTTGGCACGAAGGTTAAATGATTTTAGTGACCACTGAATCTAATGCTGAGCACCGCATTATAACCACTTGGCCTTCTTGACAAAATGCAGATTCCTAGGAATCCAAAACTTGACGGGCAGTCCCAGGAATATGCATTTTTATTAGTGTCCCCAAGTTATTCTGGTTCATACAAATGTTTAAATCCTACTGTGTTGCCCTGGCTGGGTGGCTCAGTTGGTTGGAGCATCATCCCATACACCGAAAGGCTGGGGTTCGATTCCGGGTCAGGGCACATACCTAGGTTGCAGGTTCAATCTCTGGTCAGGGGTGTATGGAAGGCAACCATCGATGTTTCTCTCTCCCTTCCTCTCTCTCTAAATTCAAGAATAAAAAATATCCTCGGGGGAGGATTTTTAAAAAATAAATAAATCCTACTGTGTTAAATCCAACAAATAGACCCTAACCCACGACGGGATATACAGAAAAACAAATCAAGCCAAAGCGATAGAAGCAAAGAAGCTGACTTTAATCTGGGGAGATTTCCCAGAGCATAATGCATTTGTTCAACCAAAATCTATTAGGAGGCCAATTTATCGAATGTCTTTAGCTGCATTGGTGTGCTGGTAAACCAGTTTTGACTGTAGGGGTGGCTGATTGGTAGTATTTACGAGTTTCCGTGGTGTAAATATTTCCATCGCGGCCAGTCTCCAGCTACTGATGCGATGTGACTGAATGCAGAGTTGGGAACAGCTGCGCACACACACAGTCGTAGCTCCTGAGCTGCAGGAGCTGGTTTCAGCACACCACTGCCTCTAAGCCCTCAGGGTTCGGACTAGATTTGGTTCCATCCCCAGGTAATGCTAATCTGGTGGAGTAGCCAGCATTTGCACAAGATAGCAAGATAGCCTAGGAACTCCTAAAACAAAGGCATACAAAGTGCAGGGAAAGCGCCCCCCACCCCCACACCCCACCCCGGGGTGGGAGCTAACTGCTCGGGAACAGGGCAGGCTCATTAATGAGGCTGACACCTTACCCAGTCTTGATAGATAAGCAGGATTGGTGGGCGTGGGGCAGGGGGTGGCATATTCTAGACACAGAGAATAGTCCATGCAAAAGATCAGAGGACAGGAACGACATGTTTGCGGAAGGGCATTTGGAGTGGCCTCAGAATGAGGAGTACAGGAGGCGGGGCTGGGAATCCGATGTGGAAAGATGGTCTTCTGTGCCCCCTAAGAAATAAAAACAAGCCCTGGCTGGTGTGGCTCAGTGGATTGAGCACCAGCCTGAGAACCAAAAGGTTGCCGGTTTGATTCCCAGTCAGGGCACATGCCTGGGTTGTGGGCCAGATCCCCAGTAGGGGGCGTGTGAGAGGCAATCGATTGATGTTTTCTCTCACACAATGGTGTTTCTCTTGTTTCTCTCCTTCTCTTTCTCCCTCCCTTCCCCTCTCTCTAAAAGTAAATAAACAAAATCTTTTTTTAAAAAAAGAAAAATAAATAAAAACAGAAAAAAAATCTGTCTGCTCACCCACTGATCCATTTACCTACCTCTGCCCTGACTCATTTAGAAGGCGGCAGCGCCAAAGACACATGGAGTGAGTACAGTGATGTAGAAAGTATGGAAGAAAAATGAGGAAAATGAAGGTAGGAGAAGGACCCCAAAGGTCAACTCAATAGCTATTTGTTGCGCACTCATGACGTGCCCCGCACTGCTCTCGGTGCTGGGTGAGCGGTGAGCAGCCACAGCCCCTCTCTCTGCGGGGCTGACCGTACACCGCTCAGTGGTTCCAATGGGTGTCTCAGAATCTACGCCAGTCTTTGATATGTCTGGGTAGACAGGAGAAGAGAGAAAGGAGGAGGGAATCTCGTGGACAAGGAAAGAGACACTGAAAGGAGTTAGGGAGACACAGGGGCGCAGGGAGGGACGTCCGTCTGCATGGGCATAGCCGTCCCAGGCTTTCCCTTAACGGGAGCGCCTTGTCCTCTAAGCCACAGAACAGACAGTGAGCAGCCCAACCCCACGCTGTTATTTTTCTAATTGGAGCAAAAATGGTCCTATATTTCTTGTAGAAACTTCCTGTCTGGAGCAAAAGATGACCCCAGGAGGAAGATCTTGGCATCCACGTTGTCTGGGTTGCTGGTGGTGAGGGGGGAGGGAGTCCTTGGCAGCTGGCCCTGGCAGTCCCTTGTCCGCAGCCTGCCAGATTCCTGGCTCGCTGCCCTTGGCCTGGTCGGCCTCGCTTTGGGCCTGGGTTGATGGCCCGATTCTCTTGTCCTGTTCTAGTGAACAGTCCTTGGGTGGGGCCTGACTTCAGCCATGTGTCTGGCTCGGCCAGTTGCTTTGCTGGGACTTCTGGGGGCTGTCTTTGTCCTAATCCAGACACTTAGCTCTGCTCTGACCTCCAGCTTTTGGGAACTTGCAGGGCTTGGCTCAGACCTGTGCCAGACCTTGCTCCCGGTTCTCCTGGGCTCACTTTTCCAACGTGGCTCTGGAATTGCCTGTGAGACAGTCTCACAACAGCACTCCCACAGCACACACACGAAGAGGAGCAGAGGGACCCAGAGCCACAGAGCAGGGCACGGAGAGCAATAAACACAAGGCTGGGCTGCCATAAAAGTCACAGCTGCACCTTTCAGGGATGGAGCAGGCACTGTAGGGCCAAGTTGCAATGTGTAATTCTGGGCATATATTGCTATTTGCCTAAAAAGATCAGATATTTCAAATTAGGCAGCAATAGAACCCTGGTCTACTTGTGCCAAGTTCCCCACTTTATCCTAAAGCCAAGGGTATTATCTTTCTTATTTTGGGTACTTGAGGAAGTCAGTGAACCCTCTCTTCGGAAAAAGGTACATACATACTGCATAATACCCCCCCACACACACACTTACATACACCCCACACAGACTAACACATACCAGACACACACAGACTAAACACACACGTCATGCACACCGCATGGAAGCCCACTCTGGCCAACAGTAGTTTCAGAGGATCGTCACGCGCACTGAGGCACAGCCAGACTCCAGGATGTCATGCACTTCCCCTCCCCTCCTCTGGCGCCTTCCTGCAGCGTAGGGGTGCCCTCTCCAGGTGCCTGTGGGAAACCCCTCAGTAATCTCCGGCAGCGAAGAGCTGCTCATACCTGAGGGCGTGCACAAGGTCTCTCCGAGATGTAGCCTCTGAAAGAAACAGCTCTGGGTTCCCATCCTCATCTGTCACTGATGAGTTGTTTGGCCTCAGTTTTCTCATCCATAAAATGGGGATAATATTTCCTCTTTCATAGCATCGTGCTGAGGGTTACATGAAATGGTTGGTGAATGGGCCTATTATATACTGATTCTGGGGAGGGTTTTTCATGTATTAACCTTCTAAACTCATGTATTGCTTATGAGATAGCCATTATTATTACTATTATTATTATTCTTCGCATTTTACAGATGAGAAAGCTGAGGCACAGAGAGGTTAAGTGGCCTGTCTAAGATCACACAGCTAAGTGGCAGAGGTAGAATTCAAACTCAGGCAGCTTGGCACAGCCCCCACATTTCTAAGTTTCTCAAACAGGCTTGTTGCCTTTTTCTTCCCTTACTGGCCCTTTCAAGCCGGATCAGTCCTTCCTTCCTGTGCGTTCCCATGGCGGCCCCATCATGGCACTCACCACCTCTGCTGTACACGTTCAGTATCTGTAAGTACACCCGTCTCCCGCCCTCGGACCGTGCTCCACGGGGACCCCTGTTCTGGCCTGGGCCCGGGGCTGGGTCATGGCATAGAGGCCTGAGCGAGGCAGAGGAGGGCAGCAGATAACAAGGCAGCGAAGAGCGGGCACTCTGAGGCCCCACAGCCTGCCTCCTGGCTGGGGTCTTTTCTGGCTGTGTACATAGGCAAATTACTTAACTCCTCTGAGCCTCGGCCTCCTCATCCGTGAGACGGAAGAGTAAACATTTCTGTCTCAGCTGGTGTGAAGACAGAAGTGGCCAGTGTGTCTGTCTAAAGTGCTAGCACGGTGCCTAATACGCGTTAGGCATGTCCACCGTCCTGATGGTCCAGGAGCCTTGAGAGATGGGGAGCGGGAGAGGGTCTGACTGGAAGAGCCTCCTGGCTCTGCTTCGTGGAGTCACAAGCCCCTCCCACCTCTGAGACTTGGACGAAGCTGGAGAGGCCTGGCGCCCCACCCCTCTGTGCAGAGGCCCCAGCCCAGCTCTCACCTCTGCTGTCATCTTGGCAATGAGGCTGGTGGAGATGGCCCCACTGAGCACGTTCCGCCTCAGGCCAGGGTTCCTGGGGTCCTTGAGGTTGCTGATTCGGCTGCGCACGCGGTTCCGGTACTTCATGTCTGTGCTCTTGAGCTCCTGGTAGATATGTGACACGGTCAAGGGCCAGCCAGCCAGTCTCGGAGGGGTACGGGAGAATGGGGAGCCTCTCCCTGAAGGGAGGACGCTCAGGGCCAACTCTTCCTCTCCCTGGACTTGTACGGAGGTCAGGCACTCCTGTGACACTTGAGGGGACCTCAGTGGGGCATATGGGGTCAGTCACGCGTCAGGGACAGGAAACAGCCTCCTTGGCGAGTTCAGATCATGGCAAGCACTGCGGTGTCTGGGACTCTGGGAATGGGCACCCCGAGTTTGTCTGGGCCTCCTGTATGACCTCAGGTGAGTCACACGACCTCTATGTGCCTCTGTTTCCTTGTTTCTAAAATCCAGGGCGGTTATGAGGATGCAGTGAGTTAAGCTGCACGACGACCTAGCATGGTGTCTGGGACACATCAGAAGCTCAGCATTCAGGGGCTAAGATGATGATGATGATGAAGATCACCTTTAGTTACCAGAAGTTTGTGGGTCCAGCTGGCAGAGAAACACGAGATTAGGAGCCACGTGTTTGAGGCTCTAAGAAGTGTTGCAGACAATAAAGAACTGGAGGAGCTTTGTTGCATTTGGTGCTCCTGTTCTCTGGTAATACCCATCACCATCTGCTGGAACCTACTTTGGGAATTGCTGGTCAGAGTTATGTCTCTCTTGAAGAGATGAGGAAGCTGAGGCTTAGGAAGGGTGCAGGCATTTGCTCAAGATCACGGTCATGTGGCAAATTCCCAGCAGAGACAGGGCTGGAAGCCAGATCCCTCCTAAGGGTAATGCTCTCTCCGCTCACCCAGCAGGAAGCGCCCCGGGGCCAAGGACCACAGTGACCTCTCTGTCCAGATGCTGCATCCCAGGCGGGCCTCCCACCCCCTTCTCTGGAAGAGCTCAGGGAACACAGCACGTTTTCTTGGTGTCCCAAGCCAAGGGGAACCAGGAAGATGAAGCCTTTGCTGGGAAATACCACGTACGGGAAGGTGACTGCAGGGAATGTGGAAACATGGGAACAGCTGACTTGCTGGAAGTGGTGGGAGGAAGGTGGTACAATTTCTGTTTTTGTTGTTTGTACAATAAAAGTGTAAAAAGAAAGAATATGCCATAATGCATTTGAAAGCCAAAACGTTTGTTTAAAAATCTGTGCTTGGGATTCCTGGAGGTGTGTGTCTGTTTACGTGGGGCCCAGAGGGAGGGCTGGCAATACCCCTCCCCGTTTCCTGAGATGATGGGGGGAAGGGACAGGGGAGGAGGAGCGCAGGCCGGCAAGTCACTGACCCTCCAAGGAGCCATGTGAGTCCAGAGTCGCTCCAAAGAGAACAGAGCTTTTTTTGGGAGACGAATATTCAAGCCCTCAAACCTGACCTCCCACCAGCTAAGAACAACGAGCTAAAGAGTAGACACAGCCCTGCTTTCCTCTCCTTTGGGAGAAGGACGTTCAGTGGAGGGAGAAAACAGAGAGGAAAGGCCGGGAGTGGAACCACGGACTGGTGCCCTTTGTTTCCACCCGGGCTATAAGGTGGAAGGGATCTGCTTGGAGGGACAAGTGCCAAACAAAGAGGAAGCTTGCACTCAGTGTTCTGCATTAGTCAGAATCATGAGAATGTACTTGGTGAGTGAGGTACTGGATAGCTCAAGACATGCTGGTTGGTAACTGAATGATGGCGGAGAGAAAAGCCCAGATGTGTTGCAGGGTATTGATGTGGGCTGCAGGCAGGAGATGAAGCAGGCCCCTGCCCCAGCCCACCCCCAGCTGAGCTCCATAGGTACAGCCTAAGAGGCCTTAAAAAGGTCACTCACACCCCAGTGTGACACTCAGATGCCCCCTCTCCTGGGGATTCTGTCCCTTCCCTCCACACCTCTTTGACATGCAAAGCTTTGTCTTCAGTAAAAGAAATTCCAGCATTCACACAGTGGGGTGCAGTGCCGAGGAATTTTTCACTCCAAGCCAGGAATCTTTTGATGCAATGGGCCCATGTCACACAGGTGGTCGCCTCCCCTGTCCACAAATGGCCCCTTTCAGAGAGTGAGAGGATGGGGAATATGAGAAGCCCAGGATGTGGAACCCAAAGACCAAGGTTTTCAGTGCAGCTCTGAGACCAGCAGTCCCCGAGCCTCCGTTTCCTCATCCGTGACATGGGAACAACAGTCCCGGCCTCCCAGAGATTGTCGCGAGAACGAACAGAGGTAGGAAGTGTGTCCGTTGCCCGTCACAGTGCTTGGTGCATATCGGGGAGTAAATAGTGGGGGCTGCCCCATCTTCACAGGTTGGAAGCGGGGGAAGGCTGAGCAGGAGAAATGCTGTCCTCTCTGTCTACTTGACCACTAGACGTCACAAACTAGGCACACGACACAGCCTGCTGGCGCAGCAGCTGAGCTTCAGGACCCGGGATCCCCCTGCCTGGGTTCCAGTCCCGGCTCTGCCACTGCTGTTTGCCACATGAGCTTTGGCAAGTGCCTCCGTCTCTCTGCACCTCAGTAAACTCGTCAGTAAAAATAATGAGGAAACTCACCTTGTGGATTGTTCTCAACACTGAATGAGGTACACTGTTCATGAACAGCCTAGCGTGAGGCCAGCAGGTGCCAGACAATAAACATTTGCCGGAATTAAGAACTCTAGTTCAGCCCGGGCTGGTGTAGTTCAGTGGATTGAGCGCAGGCTGCGAACCAAAGCATCGCAGGTTCGATTCCCAGTCAGGGCACATGCCTGGGTTGCAGGCCATGGCCCCCAGCAACCGCACATTGATGTTTCTCTCTCTCTTTCTCCTTCCCTTCCCTCTCTAAAAATAAATAAATAAAATTAAAAAAAAAAAGAACTCCAGTTCTGCGGCAGAGCAGGGGGCTGTCCCTAGAGCCCCTTCCCTCTCTGCCCAGTGTCCTGGGTCCCCTGCACTTGGGAGGCCTGCTGACGGACAGTCCAGGCACCCACAGCCTGGGCAAAACTCAAGGATATGATCTTCGATTTCTGATGCCATCTTGTCACAGTTGACTCCGTAGTCCTTGTAATCATCTAAAAGAGATTCCGAAACACGGGCATCAGCCAGACATGACCTTGGCAGTGAAGCCTGCTTGTGGCAGGGACTATGGCAGCCTGTACCGCTCCCATGACCTGGAGCAGACCACATCTCATCTGCCCTTGGGGAGCCTGCCCTCCCCCGTCCCCAGCCCAGGCCCTCTCACCATCTGCCTTCAAGGCCGCCGAAAGCATCTCCACGCACTTGTCCCGGACAGAGTCCCCGGTGAGATAGCAGGGCGCCAGGAGGCAGACGGAGGGGGCGAAGCTGGGGCTCGAGGGGCTGCTGGGGGTCCTGGGGGAGGTCTCTGCTTTCGACTTGTTGCTGTTTGATCTGAGGATGACAATCCATAATCGACATTCTGACATTAAGCGAATAAAGCACTTACTGAGCAACGATCCCCTTCCATCCTCATAGTGGCCCTAGGAGGTAGGTGCTATTTTAGGTGCTTGAGATGGATCATCTCATTTAGTCCTCACAACCACCCCACGAAGTTGATACTATTCTTGTCCCCATGTTAGAGTTGCATTTAAAGTGCATTTTAGAGAGAGATGCATTCTAAATACAGGTCACACATCTGGACACCAGTAGGGCCTGAATGAAAACCCAGGCAGATGGACTCTGGGACCCATGCTCTTAAGCCCCCACTGTGCTCTCCTGGGCACAGAACAGCGTAACCACGCCAAGGACTACAGCCACTAGGCCCTATGCGAGCTGCTCTCTGTCTCCCGCTCTGCTCTCCTTGAACCCTTTCTTCACTCATTCACTGAATATTTACTAGGCACCTATTCTCAGGGGCTGTGCTAAGAACAAGGGATACAGCAGACAAGTCAGAAAGGCTCCCCCCACAAGGAGCTGACAGTCCAGAGAATAGTGAGTGTATCACCATTGAAGAGGGCGGGCTTCTGCCATGTGCCAGGCACCGCGCCAGGCGCTGGGGGAGCGCTTTCCGACGTAACCGCCCCAGTGGTCCTAGGAGGAAAGTACTGTTACCGTCCCCATTTGCAGATGAGGAGGCAAACCTGGAGAGTAACACCGCTGAGGTTTGCACTCAGGCCTGTCTGATTCCGGGCTTTACAGTCTTAACGCCTACCATGCACTGCCTAAGAATGACACCATTTTGGCCTTGGCTTACAAAGCCACAAATAAATATACATACATATACATATACATATACATATACATATACATATACATATACGTGCATATATGCACAGATGATTATAAAGACAACTGTGTGTCTTAGTCTGCCTGGGTTGCCATGATAAAATACCGGACTGGGGGGCTTATGCAACTGAAATGAGCCCTGGCTGGTGTGGCTCAGTGGATTGAGTGCCAGCCTGTGAAACAAAGGGTTGCTGGTTTGATTCCCAGTCAGGGCACATGCCTGGGTTGCAGGCCAGGTCCCCAGCAGGGGCATGCAAGAGGCAACCACACATTGGTGTTTCTCTCCTTCTCTTTCTCCCTCTATTCCCCTCTCTTTAAAAATAAATAAATAAATCTAAAAAACAACAACAGAAATATGTTTCTCACAGTTCCAGAGACAGACCAGGTGCTGGTCCATTTGGTTTCACTCGGGGGTTCCCTTCCTGGCTCACAGGTGGCCGCCCTCTCGCCCTGTCCTTACATGCGGGGAGAGAGTGGCGGAGTGCTCAGGTGTCTCCTCCTCTGAGGACACTGCTCCTATTGGGTCAAGTTTCACCATGTGACCTCTTTTAACCTTAATTACCTCCGTAAAGGACTTAGTTCCAAATCCAGTCACATTGGGGCTTCACCATATGGATTTGGGGAGGGAGGGGTCAATAATATTCACTCCGTAACACCATACTAACAGCAAGGATCTCTCTGAGGTGGCATTATAGAATATTTTCATTTTCTCCTTTTGCTTATACATAGTTCCTAAGTCTTCTACAAAAAAATATATCTACTTTTGTAATGAGAAACACTTAACACTTTTTTTTTTTATGAGTGGTAACTGTGCTGCTGGCTCAGACAGGCTTCCTGCCTTCCTGTTGTCGAGGGGCTGCCGGCGAAAGATGGAGGAAACCCAGCTGTCTGCTGGCGGGTGAATGGATGAACAAAACGTGGCATGCACCTACAGTAAGTAGATTACTATGCAGCCATAAAAAGGAGTGAAATTCTGAAACATGCTACCACATGGGTGAACTTTGAGGGCATTACGCTAAGCGAAATAAGCAAGATCCAAAAGGGCCGATATTGCATAATTCCATTCACATGAAGTACCTAGAAGTCAAGTTCATAGAGACAGAGAGCAGAGTGGTGGTTGCCGGGGGCAGAGGGACGGGGTTTGGGGGGTGAAGGTTTAATGGGTACAGAGTTCCAGTTTGGGGTGACAGAAGAGCTCTGGAGATGCATAGGCAACATCAGGGGGCTCAGGGCAGCTGGAGCGTGAGGGCGAGGGAACTGGAAAGAAAGGATTTGGCCAAACTCTTGGACTTGTTGAGGATGGTAACAAGGAAAGCCAGCATTCACTGCCCGTCGCTGTTTATTTCTCTCTGCAGGCCCGAGAGTCACCAGTTACCAGCCCCACTTTACAGCTAAGAGGATGGAGTGGTAGCCGTACAGCTCCCTCCCTTTCAGAGCAGTGTCTGCGTGACTCTTGGGAGGGGGCAGGCGGGCAACGTGTCTCTGCCTTCATCTCTTGGCTCTTCAGTAACCCGTCAGGATCTGCGAGCCAGCCCTCATGCCTCCTAGGAGACACTGAGTCATCAGAGTTGAAGAGATTAGGGACCCCTCCTCCCTCCATCCTGAGTCTGACCACACTGAACCCTTGTGGAAGGTCCCAAAGGGCGGCTGTGTTTCCTACCTCCAGGGGGCGCCATTCACATGGTCACCTGGGTACCTCTTGGAGTTGCATGGTGCACAGCTGGGGCAGCCGCACCGGGCAGCCCTGGAGCTATGGATGCACTTCTTCCCTTCAGGAAGATGATGCTGGGCCTCTGAAAAGTCAGACCCAAGGAGCGGTGTCTGACAGTGAGGCTGACTGAGCAGCTCGGGCTTCCCTGTGTTAAAAGTCTGGGGTTATGAGAAAATCCCACCCAACATTCCAGGGAACACTTCACTGTGAATTCTGCCAGCAACCTTTTCATCTCCCAGCCCTTGCTGTTTGGCCTGACCTTGGATCCCCTCTGTCACTACAGATGCCCTCGGACCACAGGGACTGATGTGTCCTCTGGAGACTTGAGGTCCCTCCAAGGTGTCTCATTCCTGCCCCAGGAATGGGGTGGGCTGGGAAGAGAAGGCTCTGCTCTTAAAAGGTTTACATTTCAAATTCCCAAAAATTTTGTCTAAAGGGATTTCTAGCTTTTATATATATATAAAGTACTGTTTGAACCTTACTGTACTGTTCTAAGACTAAATTATCCTGCACTCTGCCCAAGCCTGCCTGACAACTGGGTGGCCTGGCAGCCGGGCACAGGGATGGGGGAGCTGCCATCCAACCAGCTCTCCTCTGGAGTCAGATTTCAGTAGGAGAGGAAGGTGTGGGTGAGGGAAGGCTGGGAAGGGTGTAAACGGGAGAGTCCAGGGGCTGCCTGCAGCCAGCGACTCTCCCTGCACCCAGCCCTGGTCCCGGCCACTGAGCCCTCCCCTGCACAGCCACAAGAGCTCTGAAGCCGGTCTCCCTGCATCCTCTTGCCTCCCTCACCATCTATTTGCCATACAACAGCTTGGCAGGGGCGAGAAGGCTTTCAAAAGCTCACACATAGTCTCAGTATTCCCCTGCTTCTGATGTTCTAACAGCTTCCACTTATTTTCAGCATAAAGGCAAAGCCCTCACTGAGGCTTCCCAACCCCTCCACACCTGGCCCCTGCCTGCCTCTGACCTGATCTCTTGCCACCGCCCACCCCCCAGCTGTTCACTGAAGCCTCTACCACCCTCCTGCTTTCTGTTCCTCGAGCGCACCTGTCCCCCACCACAGTGCCTTTGCACAGCTGGCACCTCCTCCCAGAAGGCTCTTCCTCCTCCGCATCTTCCGTGACTGGTTGTTTCCCACCAGTCAGACCCAAATATCACCTCTGCAGGGAGGCCTTCCCTGGCCATGCCAGCCAAACAGACTGTCCCTGCTCTGTAGCCCTCTAGCATGTGACCTAATTTCTTGCATTCACAGCACTTACCCAAGTCTATAATTAACTTGTGTATGTGTTTGTAAACATTGTCTGCCTCTGCTGCAGATTACAGGTTCCATAGTATAGGGAACCCATTGGCTGGTTCACCACTGTCTCCAGCAGCTGTAACAGTGCTCTCGGTAGGTACCTGATGAACCTTTGCTGATGACTGAATACAGAATGGGCTGAGGGGGCTGACCACAGAGAGGGGCAAGGGACATCCCAGGGGTCTAGCCAGAGATGAGCGAGGTCAGCCACAGGGTCTCTTTGGAAGGCCAGTGACTTAAGAGAAGGATCTCTCTCTGAGCCAGTGTCTGTCACCTCCCACAGCCTAAGCCAGCTCATCTCCTGCAACTGTGATGGAGCTGCCGATGCTTCCTGGGGCTAACCCCTCACTGTCCTGCGCGGCCCACACCACATCCTTGGTGTCTAGGACTCAGCGGTGGGGAACCACCAGGGGGAGCTTGAGGGTGCTGCTTGGACTAAGGCATAGCAGCAAACAATAGTAACTTGTCATTTAAGAAATGCCTACGGTGTGGTGGTATATTTATTAAGGACACAGTCTCCAAAGCCAAGTTCCCAGGTTCAAGGCCTGACACCACCACTTTGCAGCTATGTGTCCTAGGGTGAATACCTTCCCCTCCAGGTGCCTCAGTTTTCTCACATGGCAGGTGGGGATAATGATAGTACCCATCTTATACAGTTGTTAAGAGAATTAAAGCACCTAAGAGAATTCTAGAAATGAGCCATTAGGCAATTTATATAGGTTGCCACATTAGGTTTGAGTATTATTACTAAGCATTATGTACTTATTGAGCACCTACATGGGTTGGGAACAGTGCTAAACATCTCATTACCTCATTTGATCCTCACCGTAACCTTGAAAGGGGGTCATAATTATCCCCATTTTAAAGATCAGTGGACTGAGACTCAGAGAGCTGAACTGACTTGTCCAAGGTCATCCAACTAGCCAATGGAAGAGTCAGGCTGCATATCTAGGTGTGCCTGCCTTCTGAATTCTTTTCAATACATCTCCCTGTGGCTCCGAAGGGCAGGGTTTTCCAGAGTTCCCTTACCTGGGCGAGGCTGAGCTGCCTGTCGCATTTCCCCCCACCTTCCTGGCAGGGCACTCCCAGGCCCCGGGCCTCCTCTTGGCTAGGAGCTGACTGGTAGGCTGGAAGTTGTTTTTAAATGGCATTCCAGGCAGCCACGCTCATTTTGCTTTGAACTGGGAACTGAGTCAAATTGCAGAGAGGGCATCACTGGTGGGGGTGGAGGCAGGGGGGTTGGATTGATCACAGCTTCCGCTGCTTCCCGGCTGTGTCCGCGTCAGCACCAGCCTGCGTGCGTTCTGATACCGCTAAGCGCTTAGAAAATCCTCTGGCCCCAGGTCAGAGCAGAGGTACCGAAGGCCTGGCTCACTACTCGTGCGCGCCACCTCGAGGGCACTTCAGTTACTGCACCACCAAGCACCTGTACCGCCCAGGTGAAAACAAGTCAACCAATTGCCTGCCACAGCTGGCTGGGTCCTACCGCCCTGAAAAAGGGCGGCCTTCTTCCCGGACACAGTGATGCCCTCCGCGGTCTGTGCCCTGGCACTCCAGCTACAGTTCCCAGAGTGCCATGCTACTCATACTGCCACGCCTTTGCCTGGGATGCCCTCTCTTGGCTGTCTGCCAGGCAAACTCCTATTCATTCACCTGTCAATCTTCAGCACAAATACTCTCTCTTCCATGAAGTCTCTTTGACTTCTCAAATCATAGTGAAACACTCTTCCGATGTTCCCACTGTGTGTTACCTCTCCAAAAACCAAGTATTTCGGTGTCTGCCTCTACACTGATTAGCTCTATGAAGACAGAAATGAAGAGTTTGAACCTTTGCTTGGTTTAGAGGTTGCAAACAGGAGGGCTACAAATATGTTTTGTTCACTCTACTGTGTCTTAGAAAAAGGTGAGTATGCTGCCAATGTTTAAAGTTGGGAGTCTCATCTAAAAATCTAGAAGTCCAGTGTCCCCTAAAGAGCGGGGAGGCATGGCACACAGGGGGCCTGTATTTCCATAAAGCAACAACTGGCTGGGGCTAGGTAGTGGGTGCCCCCTACAGGCAGGCACTCTACTCTCCATCTTTCCATGGTCCCCAAAAGTCACCCACGGTGTGCACATGCCCTTGACCCCTGGGGATGTTGTTTGCAAAGAATGTGTACTCCAGATAGATGAGTGGATGGATGGATGGATGGGTGGAAGAGAAAGATGAGTTAGAGAGGCAGAGAGTACAGGAAACAGTCTGGGTAGTGGGTAAAGTGATTTACAAGACCTGCTTTGGGTTGCCCATCCCCGATACTGAACCAGCAGCAAATGGTACAGCTGTCTGTCGGACGTGTTCTGTTTGCCCTTCAGAAAAAGAATGCTGTATCGGAGGGAGCCAGGAGACTCTGAGGGCCCAGGCAAAGTCAGGAGAGGAGTGTGAAGGTATAAATCCTTCCACAAATGTTGAATGTTCATATTATAGCGTCAAACCCAGCACTGGATTAGTGCGAAGTGTTTTGTTTTGGGATAGGACAATCCTTCATTATACAGGGCTGCCCTTCATGCCTCCGGATGTTCAGCCCCTGTGAGCCCTGCCTCCTAGAGGCTGGAGTGCTCCTCCCCCACTCCCACTACAGACAGAATATTTGTGTTCCCCCAAATTCATAAGTTGAAGCCCTCACCACCAATGGGGCACTATTTGGAGGTGAAGCCTTTGAGAGATAATTAGGTCTCGGTGAGGACGGGCCCCATGATGGGATTACAGTCCCTGTAAGAACAGGAAGGGAGACCAGAGTTCACTCCTCCAGGCAGGTGCACACAGAGCAAGAAGCAAGAAGGTGGCCACCTGCATCCAGGAAGAGCGGCTTCCCCAGGAACTGAATCAGCTGGCACCTTGATCTTGGACTTCCCTGCATCTAGAACTTTGAGAAATAAATGCCTGTTGTTTAAGCCACATAGTCTATGATATTTTGTTATAGCAGCCCGAGCTGACTAAGGTACCCCCCAAGCCACAGTGACAACAGAAAACGCTTCCACAAATTTCTGAACGACCCTCCATTGAGAACCACTGGTTTAGGGCCAGGATGGCAGCGAGGCATCCGAGGCCTCGCTCATGGCAGATGTCACTAACAGACCACAGGACTCTCTTCTCCAGAGGTGGGTGCAGCCTCCATCCCTCTCCAAGCAGCGCTCGGAGAGCCTCCACCATCAGCTGGAGCTGGCACTCAGCAGCCAGTGGGAATCAGGCAACACAGCAGCCCCATCAACATCTTGGGCCAGTTTAATTCCCATAAAGCCTTAAACAACTTAATTTTTGTGCCTCTTTTTTCTTTCCAGTGGTGGTTTTACTGGTAATTAAGCCTAGAACAGCTGTGCATCTCCCACTCGTATTCACCTAGAAGCCAACCTTACCATCCCACCTGTTTGTCCCAGCATCCAGTATGGCCCCGGACCCTCGTCATTTGCCTCCACCCACCTCCAAGCCAGGTCCTTGCTTGCCCTGCTCTGCTCCCTCTTGGCCCTGCTTCCCCTGCTCTGACCTCTGACCTCCCCCGGACTACAGTTCACACTCACTCCTTTACCCACACTCTCTCTGTAGCGATCTCGTCCAGCTTGAGATGCCAGCTACATGCCAATGACTCTGAAATGTATGTTTCCGGCCCAGACTTGCTTCCTGAATTCCAGCCTGGTATAACCTAACTGCTCACTCAACTTCTGCACCTGAATGACCAGCACACCTCTGAAATCCAACATATCCAAACCTGAACTCTGGGTCCCCTGCCGCAGCCAGCCTGGGTTACGTGGCCCCCCCCCCCACCAGTGCACGGCAGCGCCATCCTTGCAGATAGATGCCCACGTGAAAACTCTGGGAGTCATCCTGACTGTTCCTTTCCTCTTGTTGCCCACGTGCAATCTGTCAGGAAATCTAGTCAGCTCTGCTTTCGAACTGTATCTGGAGTGGAGTCTGCCCCTTCTCCCCACCCGCTGCCACCCTGAGCCACCGTCACATCCTGCCTGAATTGTCGCAATAGCCTCCTGGTCTCTCTGCTTCTGCCTCGACGATCCATTCTCGGCAGAGCAGCCAGAGGGATCCTGATACGTTCGATCATATAATTTACAGGCTTAACACCCTGCAGTGCTCCTGCTTCCCTCCGCCCTCCAGCTCTGCCCCTCACTCATTCGCTTGAGCCCCACTGGCCACCTCGCTGGTCCTCAGGTGTGGAATGACCGCACTATCTGCATGGCATTTTAAGCTTTTGCTCAAAGCTCACATCCTCAGCCCTGGCTGGTGTGGCTGAATTGGCCGGCCAGTGGATTGGGTGCCGGCCTGTAAACCAAAGGGTCGCTGGTTTGATTCCCAGTCAGGGCATGTGCCTGGGTTGCGGGCCAGGTCCCCAGTAGGGGGTGTGCACCAGAGATAACCACACATTGATGTTTCCCTCCCTCTTCTTCTCCCTCCCTTCCCCTCTCTCTAAAAATAAATAAATAAATAAAATCTTTTTTTTCAAAGGTCACATTCCCGCCGAGGGCTCTTCTGACCTCCCCAGTGACCGTTTCCCCCCAACTCCCCTCACCCTGCTCTGTTGTTTTCCTTAGCACTTGCCGCCTTCTAACCTGGTGTACAGCTTACTCGTCACAGGTATTGCTGCCGCCCCTATTAGAATGCAGGCCCCCTGGCCCCAGCGGTTTTGGTTTCTTTTGTTCACCCCTGTATCCTTGGCACCTAAAACGGTTCCCAGCACATAGTAGGCCCTCAATAAATATTTGATGAATGAATGAGTCGTTTGATTAGGATATCGACTCTGAGGTAGATATCTTCACTCGTTCGGCCCCGAACCAGAGGCCCCACCCCAGGTACAGGCTCTCAAGGCCTCTGTCCTCACGGGGTTCAGGTTGACCTTGAGAATGTCCCCCAGACAGGGATGGGGAAACAGTGACGGGCCAGCCACCCCGGTGAGGGAGCCACGCCTCTGATTCGGGGCCCCCTTAGTCTTTAAAAATATTTATTTATTTATTTCAATGACAGTTCACATTCAATATTATTTTGTATTAGTTTCAGGTGGGCAGCTTAGTGGTTAGACAATGATGTACTTCACAGAGTGACCCTCCCCCAATATTTCCAGTACCACCTGGCACCGTACACAGGCGTTACAATATTACTGACTATATTCCCCACGCTGTGCTTTACAGCTCTGTGGCTGTTCTGTCACTGCCAATCTGTCCTTCCTAATCCCGTCACCCTTCTCATCCAGGCCCCAACCTCCCTCCCCTCCGCCATGGCCTTACTGTGTGGATTCTAGGTTTTGGAGGCAGCGTAACATATGAAGTTGCCTCCTTCCCCAGCCTCAGGCGTCGCACATTAAAGCAGAAAGAGGGACACATGTTGAACAGAAACTCTGGGGTGGAGAAGTCCGAGGCTCTTACCTTTCCATTGATGGTCTTTTTGGAGAGGAAGTGGCTGAAGACTTGGAATCCACAGAGTCTCTCCTGAAAGAAGAGAAATCGAAGATGAGACTCTCCTAGGCGCTGGCATCCGTGCTGATTGAGAGAGGTCGGGGGCCGGGGAGAAAGCGTGCTGGAGCCAGGCCTGCCGGGCTGCGGAGGATAGAGCCCACCCGGACCAGCGCTGCCTGAGAGAGGAGGCTCCAGGTGGTGCTGGCGGGTCACCTTCACCTGCCCTCCATCAAATGAAGCAATCAGTGCAAGGGAAGGAAACCGAGCATGTGCCAGATGTGTTGCATGTGCTGTCTTTAATTGCATGACTTTCACTAATTATGAAAAGCTAAGTCTCAGCAGCCCCCTCTCGTCCTTGCTGTCAGGCAGGCCTTGGCCAGCTGGAGTCCACGGACACTGGAATTGCTGGGATTGCCTGTTCTTGCGACAAACTGGACACCATCTCAGCCTCTCCTGCTGGCCCCTTAGGAGGAGGAGAGGAGAAGCACTCAGGCCTTGGAGAGAGAAGAGCTGCATTAAAATGACAAGTGGAGAAGCAGGATGCCAAATTAGATGCATTTTGTACCTAAAAGTCTTGCAAGAAAACGCCTAGGGAGACAAAAGCTTGAAAGACCGTCCAGCCCTGGCTGGCGTAGCTCAGTGGATTGAGAGCGGGCTGGGAACCAAAGTGTCCCAGGTTCGATTCCCAGCTAGGGTACATTCCTGGGTTGCAGGCCATAACCCCCAGCAACTGCACATTAATGTTTCTCTCCCTCTCTCTCTCTCTCTCTCCCCCCCTTCCCTCCCTAAAAATAAATAAAATCTTTAAAAAAAACTTTACTTTAAAAAAAAAAAAAAGACCATCCAAATGCTAACCAGGGTTACATCAGGAAGACGGGCTGAGAAGTGAAGTTTTTTCCCTTTTTCCAAAACGCAGGTAGCTACATCCTTTCTGATATAGGATGTGTTTTTCTCTTTCATTGGTTTCATAAAATTAATGTTTGTAAAGTTGCACACCCCCCCCCCGCTCCCTAACTCACCCAGCTATCCTAGTTCCAGCACAGCTGCCACAGCTGTCAGCTGTGAGACAGACTATGATTTTCTTCCTTATTATATGCATTGTCCACACCCCCGCCACGTAAACCCCACAAGAGCAGAGTTCAGGGGGTTCTGTTCACGGTGGTGGACACTGTGCCTGCTCAGCCTGTACCCTCTCGGGCGCTCGCTCCCCCAGTGCACGGGGCACAGGGACCTCCCCCTACAAGCTCCCCGGGGCACGGTCTGCCTGAGGACTTCTCCGCTCCAGCCAGCACCAGCAGGCCAGTGGGCCGGGAGTGCTGGGCGGGTCTATACCCCACCTTCCTCGGCCTCAAGTGGGTCGGCCCCAGGTGTGTCCTCCACTGTCACACAGCATTCAGAGCAGGATTGAAACCCTGGTCGCCCACAGCAGTCCCCTGCTCACTGACACACCCTGGGCTGGCTTCCTTCCCTGCCCTGCCTCCCTTCCTCACTCCTCGACCTGCACTTCCTGAAATCACTTTCCAAAGAAACCCCTGCGCTGGGGTGCAAGTCTCAGGGTCTGCTTCTGGGGAGCGCAGTCTGATACATCCACCGACTTTTCCCCAGCAAACAGACTGGTGCCTGGCAAAGGGCAGGCGCTCTGTAAATATTTGTTGCTGAATGCTATTAAGTCAAACAGTACAGGAATGTAAACACTAAAAAGGGGGGAAACAAACCTCCCCATAGGTAACAGCTACTAAGTTTAATGTCTTTCCTTCCAGACCTTTTTCTACATGCATACAAACCCACACAACATTCATCATTGTTCGGAGAGAGCCGATGACAGGATTGTATTCCCCGTTCTGCCCCCAGGGCAGGTCATTTTCTCTGAGCATCGGGCTCCCTCACCTGTCAATGAAAAGAACCTCTGTCTTGGGCTGTCTGGGAGGAAGACATTGGAGCATGCATGTCCCCACAGCAGTTCCCAGCACAGGGCAGGCCTGATGCTCCACAGTCCCAGGCATCGGACTTCTTGTTTTCCAGATCCTGCAACATTTCTGCATGGATTTCCAGCTCCCACCTCGTCCTCCAGATGGTCTGGGAGTCAGTGGGCAAAGTGGGTTTAGGGGCAAGCCTTAATCAGCCCGTGGACCAGACCCATCTGCTCTGGACCTTTGCTCCAGCGTGAAGATGGGGCAGGCAGCAGTGAGGGCAAGGGGAAGTGTCACCCGCCTTCACGTGCCCCTGCATTCCCACACCCGCCCTGCAGCTCCTCTGCGGGGCTCCTCCCTGAGTGCCCCCTGAGGATGGACGGTGCGGACCGGAGTGTGAAGCCGGAATCTTGCAGGCAGAGAAGGGAGAAAAGACACGAGCCTTCACCCCGGAGCCTCGCCATGTTCAGGCCCTTCCTTCCTCACTGCTTTTCTTTTTAGGACAAACGAGAAATATTCTGCGCTTATTGTAAATGATCATTGTGAAAGCTCTTCGGGAAGATGAAGACATGCCTACAATACAATGGGAAGATGAGTGAACGAGAACACGGTAGTCTGCACACTCCACCGACAGGGATGGGAAAACGATGCATGTGAGCAGCTCAGTGCTGGGAGAAAAGAGGAAAAGAAACTGCTTCGTTTGCTGGCGGTGGCACACTGCGGGCAAAGGTTTTTAATCCTTATTTCAATTGCACTAATGTGGTTACAGTGTTTCTATAATAAGCAATGATGATCAATTATCATTAAGAAAACTAAAACGGAAGGAAGTTCACCAATTTAGCTGAAATAGGACCCTTGCCAATTGGATGCACCCAGCAAGGCAGGGAGACAAGCAACCCAGGGCCCGCGCAGCCACAGTGACAGCTGCGTACGGTGGGCAGCACCAAGGCTGTGAAGGGGAAGCGGCGTTAACAACCCCACCTCCTGGTGAAACGTTCACAACGTAGTTAGGTGTCAAATGCTGGTTACCGAACCGTATGTAGAGTGTGATCCCGGTTTTATTAAGAAAATATAAATGGCCCTGGCTGGCGTAGCTCAGTGGATTGAGCGTGGGCTGTGAACCAAAGCATCGCAAGTTCGATTCCCAGTCAGGGCACATGCCTGGGTTGCAGGCCACGGCCCCCAGCAACTGCACATTGATGTTTCTCTCTCTCTTTCTCCCTCCCTTCCCTCTCTAAAAATAAATAATAAATAAAATAAATAAAATCTTAAAAAAAAAAGGAAAATATAAATGTACATATAGATGTTCTTAAAAGATGAGAAAGGTATACATCAAAATGTTAACAGCAATAGTATTCTTTTCTTATGTTTGCTTTTCTAAACATTTTACACTGCACATGATTACTGTGGAAATAAATAAAAGATGAGAAAGGTATACATCAAAATGTTAACAGCAATAGTATTCTTTTCTTTGCTTTTCTAAACATTTTACACTGCACATGATTACTGTGGAAATAAATAAATGTGGAAAGGTTACAAAATACTATATAGAGTATAATTCCATTTTATTAATACAATAAGTATTTTATGGGTGGTGATGCACAGCTAAAAGTCTAGAAGAATATGTATGTGATTATACACACTACATGTGTGTTTTACACATTATTATATGTGCATGATTATATACACATATATGCGTTTGTCTCTATATAATGAATGATTTTTAACTTTCCTATTTATATCTTTAAAGCTTTCTATAATGAGCAAGTAATTACCTGTATAATAAAATAAATATAATACAAAATAGTTAAAACAATGAATACAATTAAAATATACTCCAAATAAAACATTTTATTCTGAAGAAGAAAGAATCAGCCTGGCTGGTGTAGCTCAGTGGATTGAGCGTGGGCTGTGAACCAAAGCATCGCAAGTTTGATTCCCAGTCAGAGCACATGCCTGGGTTGCAGGCCACAGCCCCCCGCAACTGCACATGGATGTTTCTCTCTCTCTATCTCCCTCCCTTCCCTCTCTAGAAATAAATAAATAAAATCTTTAAAAAAAAGAAGAAAGAATCAAGATAACACTGCCCACTTTTCAGGCCACGGTACACAGTCTCAGAGACTGAGGGTGTGAGTACGTGATCGAGTGAAGCCCAGAATCTGGCTTTCTGCTCTCCAGCCATCCCCTCGACCATGTCTGTTATCCTTTTATAGGCCTTTAAGAGAACCCCTGTACTGATCACTTAGTGGGATTCGGAGATGGAGCAACAGGAAGCGCATGGGCTCGGGCTGCCACCTCTACCGTGACGTCCACATGCCTGTTCTGCAGCTCAGCTCCCACCCTGCTTGGCCTTCTCCCCCAACAGTCCAGCCTCTTGTCTTCCAGCTTCATCCCACAACACCCCTCCCTCTCCCGGTCCCTCATGTGCCACGGCACTCAGGACCACACAGGAGGCCCAGATGTGGCGGGACCAGCCCGAGCATGACCGCCCACAGGGGGCCGCACGGGTGCAGCCGGCCCCGCAGCTGTCAGTAAACGACACTCTGTGCTGGGCCCTGTGGGTCAGAGGGTCCCCGCCAGCCACCCTGCCGACCGCTTTGGAAAAACAAAACACACCGCATGAAAAGTTAAATGCCAAGTGGGATTTCTCCACGTGGGATACAACCGGAAAATGAGCAAGGAAAGGAAGAGAACACAGAAATGATTACAGAACCATGTGACAAGTAGCGATATTTTAAAAAGTAGGCTCTAAAATGAAGAACTGTGGAAAACAAGTCAAAGAGAGAATAGAAAGGAAAAAATCATATACCAAAACATGAAGAGTGATTGCCTGTGGGTGGTGGGAGTGAGAATGATTTTCCCCCGTTTTTCATTATTTCTACAACAAATTGTCATCACTCTTGTTTGTTTTTTTTAAAGTGCTATTATTTGTTCTGATTTCAAAAGCAATACAGGATCGTTGTGGAAAAAATACTCAGAAATATGAATATAAATTTTGTGGTATAATATAGAATACGAAGTTCTTAATTATTATCACATATATTTTTGTTAAAAAAATATCTTTGCCCTGGCAGGTGTGGCTCAGCGGACTGAGTGCCAGCCTGCAAACTGAAGGGTCATCTGTTCGATCCCGGACTGGAGCATGTGCCTGGGTTACAGGCCGGGTCCCCGGTTGGGGGTGTGCGAGAGGCAACTGATTGATGTTTCTCTCACACACTGATGTTTTTCTCCCTCTCTTTCTCCCTTCCCCTTTTTCTAAAAATAAATAAATAAAATCTTTAAAAAAAAGAGGGTTTAGAGGAAAAATGTTTCAGAAACGCCAGCCAAAAAATGTCACACACAGAACATACATCTTTCTGTTTAACAGGTTAATGTCTTCATGTAACTGAGAGTGGACACGCTGGGTGAAAAGGCAGGGATATTTCTTTTCCATCCCAGAAAAAATTACCTGTCTTTGGGCTCTTCCCCTTGTTTCTTCCTTGGTGGAGAAAGGCCTGCCTCTGGCTTCCAGCTGGAACAGGCAAGTTCTTTTTCTTTCTTCTTGGCTTTTTCTCCTTCCTCTCCTTTTCCTCCTTTGGGGGACCCAGGGGATTCTGAAAACGGAAGGGTGGTGGTACGGCTCCCTCAGCTCCGGCTCCGTTGAACCCAGCGTGGCCTGGGGGAGGGGCAGGGACAGCCGCACACTCCCCCAACACATACACACACTTGTACATAGATGCATATACAACATGCACATACGTGAGCAAATCCACATTCACACATGGGGGCAGGGAGGCACATGCACACACACCTACGTACATGTTCACACAAATATGTATATACAGATGTACAAACACACGAGCAAACAGAAATGCACACACAGGCACATGTATGGGAAAACTTACAGACCTACAAATCTCGCCCTTGAGCAGACAAACACTGACACTCCCCACTAGAGGCCACCTGTCATTTACTAAGTCATTCAACAAACACACACTGAGTGCCTGCTAGGAGCCAGGCATAGCCCTGTCCCAGGTGCTGGGGAAAAAACACAGTCCGAGTCAACCCTGCCCCGCCTCACCTAGCAGCCGCTTCCATTTTTTGATGAGGACTTTGGCCAAGGACACGGCCTCCTTGTTGGAGCAGTGCTTCCGAACCCCGTTCACGGCGACTCCGATCCGGGTTGTCTGCAGAGCGAGAGGGCAAGGGGCTGGTCTGAGAAGGGACGTGCGGGACTGGCTGCCCTGACTGGCAAGATCTGGCCTGGCTCGTCCACCCCCTTCCCCTAGCCTCAGCTTCCCCACAGCCCCAGGCCCGACCTGTGGCTGAGACAATAACCCTGATCCTACAACTGAGGCCCTGGCCAGCCATCCTGAGTGAGGGCCGGTGCCCCAGGCGCAGCCCCGCACTATGGGCAACGGCGGCTCTGGTGGAAAGCTGAGGTGGCAGTGATGGTGGTGGTGGTGGTGGTGGGCCTGGCTGACGGTGAGGGGTGAGGACTCCTCCCCATCCCCGGCCCCCTGGTGCGCTGGAGGCATATCTTTGAGCTCAGGTTTCAGCTTAAGACACACATCTGGCTACTAAAGCTTGGGTGTGTGCTAATTTGGGGGGGCCAAGAGCGTTTGGCAATGTTTGGGGGCTACAGGGGCAACACAGGGCAGATTGAAAAATGGGGGACTTTTCCCTGGATCATTGGCCTCTTGGATCCCACAAGCCCAGGACCTTGGGAATTGTGATATTCAAGGGAAGTACATTAGTCTTCCACCCAGACCCAGAAGGCCCCTGTGCTTGGAAGGTCCCCTGCCCCCATCTAAATGACCCAGTCCCCACCCTCAGAGCACCTCAAGGTCCTCCAGCCCTCTGCTCGGAAATTCCCCCCAGACCCCACCCTTGGAGGCCTTCCCCCTGTCAGGTTTCCCCCCCTTGGAAGGTCTACACCCCCGCCCCCAGCCAGCACTGTCCCAGAGCCTTCCACCCCCACCCCACCTGGAGTAGCTGGATGGACATCTGACAGCTGTTCAGCTTCTTCAGGAGGTCGAGGGCCCCTTCCTGTGGGAGGCCACAAGGTGAGAACTGAGGGCCGTGGGTTCTGCCCCAGGTCCCTCTCTGGTCATCGAGTGGTCTTAGTCGGAAAGAGGAGGGCTGGAAGGAGGGAGGAGACTTCCAGGAGACAGGCAGACGCGTGGTTGAAGGACGGGCAAGGGACAGTGAGGAGGAGAGAGCAGGAGAAGATTCTGCCCAGACCAGCTCTCCCCTTCATCCCTGTCTCCCAGGCGGGGGCCCTAACCACTCGCCCCACCCCCCAGCTGTTGGTTCTGCTCTTCTTTCCTCTGGGTGTGCTCTCCCTTTCCCCATCTCTTCCTCTGCGGATACTTCCTTCGCAGCTTATTATTATTGCTTTCATGTCCGCATCCTCCTCCTCTCCTCACTTCCCAACTGTGAGCTTAAGCAGGGTGAGGAGTGTGGCTTTTATTTTTTTTACAGCTTTACTGAGGTATAATTGACAGGCAATAAACTGGACATATTGCAGGCTATGATTTGATGAGCTTTGACATCGGTATACACTCATAAAACAGTCAAGATAAGAACACAGCCATCACCCTCCAAAGTTCCCTAGTTCCACTTTGTAATCCATCCCTCCTTGCACCCCCCATCCCATGCCCCCGCCACTACTTTTTGTCATGATAGATAGGCTTGCATTTTTAAGGACTGCATGCCAAGAGTACTGTGATAAACGCCCTTTGGTCTGGCTTCTCTCACTCTGCATAATTATTCTGAGACCCATCCAAGTTTCTGTGTATATCAGAAACAGTTCCTTTTCACAGCTGAGTTGCTTTCCATTGTTCGTACACACCGCAGTTTGCTTGTGGATTTTCACCTGCCGGTGGACTTTCCCACCGGGTTTCCAGGTTGGGGCCACTACAAATAAGGCTGCAAGGAACACTCACACACAAGCCTGTGTGTGGACATCCACTTTCATTCCTCTCGGGCGAAGGGGACTGTTTTCATATCTGAGAACTCAGGGCTCAGCACAGGGCTCCCTGAGCGAACGAATCAAACGGACAGCAGAGGGCGGGAGGGCAGGCCGGGAGGGGAAGAAAGGAGACTCAGATCTGAAAACCTGCTGGCTGTCTCTGACCCATTTCAGTTTTCTCCCTCCTCCCACCCGCTTCCTAGAAGCCAGCCCCAGCCTCCCGCCCTGCGTGCGGCCCCCTGGGGAGCACCAGCTGACCGTGCCCCCGCGCCCTGTAAGCCCCTGCCAGGCTTCCCGGGCCGCGTCCCAGGGGCTGCCAGTCCTCAGCCTCCCTTGGAGCCTGGGTTCACGGGGTGCTTTCAGAGGTGTGACCAGTGGGTTTGTGTGTGTGTGTGTAAACGTGTGGGCATACAGCTCTGTGTGTAACGTGAAGTAAAAGCTTACAACGTGCTGGATGCTCTTTTTTAAGTATTTTATGCGCCTTGTCTCGTTTAACTCTTACGATGACCTTATGAGGTAGTGGTCTGACTATCCCCATTTTTATAGATGATCCCACTGTCACAGAAGAGGAATCCGAAAAGCTGGGAGGTTAAATAATCTGCCCAAAGCTACAAGGGACAGAGCTGGGATTCAAACTCAGGCATTTCGGGCGTGAACCGCTGTGCAAGTGCGCAGGTCTGGGCCCAGACCTGTCCAGATTTATGCACTCGTGGCCTGGCAGCAGGGTGGGTGTGGCAGCAAGCTGCTCAATGCCAGCAACGGGTTCTCAGGGAAAGGAAAACCCCGATGTGTACTATCTGCCGATTTCTGGTGTGACTACTCCCCCCAGGGCGAAATTTAAATCACAAACATGCTGTCGCTGACTGAAGGGGGTACCGAGGAGCGACATGCCATCCCATGGTGTTCCCCCCGTACGGACGTAACGGAAGAGAATTGCCTCCAGACCATGCATGATGGTGAAATGCAGTCAAAGAATTAGGAAATGACAATTTTAGAGCATTTTTTACCTGTGGGTTTTTTTCTAAAGAGCTTAATGTTTTTAATTGTATTTTATTATTATTTTTTAATCCTCATCTGAGGATATGTTTGCTGATTTTAGAGAGAGGAAGGGAGGAAGAGAGAAAGAGAAACATTGGTGTCCAAGAGCAACATCGATCAGCTGCTTCCCGTACTCGCCCCAATAGGGGATTGAACCCACAACCTAGACACGTGCATGGCCTGGGATCAAACCCATGGCCCTTCGGTGCCCAGGATGATGCTCCAACCAGGCCACCCACCAGAGCTATTACCTTCGTTTTTTATACAATTTACTTAACTGTAAACATATAATTGAATTTTTAAAATAATGGCTATATTAACAACAGATTTGCAAAATTCCTGAAAGTTTAACCACAGAGTTAAACCGGCTCCATCCCATCCCTAGGCACGGGTCGCCAAGGTCTGTCACACTGAGCAGCTGGGACCAGAACATACTGAGGAACAGCCACGAGCCCTCCCCGCTTGTGCAAGTGCTGCACGGCCAGGTGTGTCTCTCTGTGCGTGTATGGGGCGTGCAGCCAGCGGTGCCCAGGCCCAGGTGTGGAGCTATGGGTAAGCAGCTCAAAGCACAGTGTGTTTACTTGCCTTTGTGGGGTGATGCCTCTGCTGCAACGTCTGAATGCGTGAGTGTGGCTGTTAGGTGTGCAGTTTTGCACATCTGGGTATTGCTTATTGTCTGCATGTACACGTGTACAGTTGTCTTCACGTGTCTTTCTGTAAATATAACAGTCAGCGTATCTGTCATGTCAGGATCCGAAGCCCTGCCTCATATGCAGTTATGTTCACAGTTGCCTGTTTGGTTATTGTGCGTGGCTGTGCTCGTAGCTACATTTGCTGTGTGCCACTGTGTGTATGTGTAGCAGTGACGTGGTGCTTGCGGGCTTGAAGCTGTTTCAGAGCGTGCGCGCCAACAGCATCTGACAAAAGCCCTAAGCTGCTGGCCCTTCAGTAACTGGCAGTAGACCCTGGGCCTGAGCTGCGACGTGGAGGGTGGAGGATCCGTCTTCGAACAGGAAGTGTGTCCTCCTCGCCCTAACCACTCCTGGCGGGGCCCATTGGCCTCCCAGAGCAAGCCCCACCTTCCTTGATCACACGCCCAGAGCTCCGTGCCCACTCGGAGGCTGCAGAAAACCCAGGCACAGACGTGGCTGCAGGCTGGCTCCGAGCTCCAGAGCCCCTGTGGCTAGATTTGGGCCATTCCTGGAGAGAGCTCTGAGTCCTTCCACAGGAATGCGCTCCAAGGAATACCATTTCCTCTTCCCTTTTTATAGAAAAGGAAGTCTGGGCACAGAGAGGGGAAGTAGAGGGAGGATCTGTGGCCCTAGAGGAGCGAGGGGAAGCCCTGGCCAGTCCCTTCCTTCTCAGCCAGAGCTCTACTCCCCACCAGGTGCCTTCTCTCAGGTCTGCTAAGTTTCCTCGCCCCAACCCCCACCCTGCTCCTCTGTCACGCAGAGGCCCAGAGTCTCCTGGCCTAAACCTGAGTCAGTAAGGAGCAGGGCTGGGGTAACCTGTCTGCTTTCGGTGGAATTCAGCTCAGAAGACCCGGGTTGGGCTCTGCTGCCCCCATGGAAGTGCCCCCATGACTCGAGGCTCAGCGTCACTGATTTTGGAAGATCCTGGAGTGGGGGTGGCTGGAGGCGGGGAGGTAAGGGTGAGAAGCTGCCAGCGGGCTGCTGTTTCATCTGGCTGTGCAGAAGCCGGACTCATCTTGGACTCTCAGCTAGCACTGTCCCAGGCCCTACTAAGGATTTCACATCTCCCCCACCCTCACCACCAATAGCAGAGACAAAAATCCAGTGACACTCCTTCCCAGGAGGTAGGTAGTCTCAGCTCCTTCTTACAGATAAAGAAACTGAGGCTCTGGCCTTTACATCAACATCAACTCATTACTGTTCCCGTCTCCTCCAGGACTTTGGACATTCCATGGCTCCTGCGGCCCTTCTTCCCTTTTCTCCACTGTAAGTCCATTCGTTTCCCAAGTTCCTAGGGTCACAGAAGGCCCTGGAAATGCAAGTCCTGCTCCAGCACAAGGCTATGGATGGTGAGAGGAGGACCACCCCAGGACAGGGCAAGATTTAGGTCCATGCCTGCTGGGCTACCCTCCCCTCTTTCCCCTGCGCGGGTGTGCCCAGAGCCTTCCTGAACGAAGGCCAAGTTTGCTCTGGCCAGGCAATCCCACGGCGCCAGCCTGAAGGCAAAGATCACGGGAAGGATCAAACATTAACTTCAAGTAGGCTTGCGCTCCGGGCTCCGCGTATCCTTAGGTAGGATCGCCGGCCCTGACTCCCCTCAAACTCCGGGTTGGTGAGGAAAGCCCGGGCCTCCAGCCCGCCCCCGTTTCCCCCACCCCGCGGGCCCCCGAGGGCTACGGCTGCCCCGCACCTGTTCTGCCCCCCCCGCCAGCGCAGGCCCCACCCCGCGGCCAGGGAAAAGGAAACTGGCAAACAGAACCGCTCCTTGCGCCTGAAACTGTGCGGTCGCGGAATCCGGGGCCCTTTGCTTCTCTCCCCGGGATCCACTCGCCGGTGCCGGGCAGACTCGGCTCAGCGCCCCTTGTCAGCTCAAGTTTCTTTGACACTTCTGGGGCCACCAGGATTTTGTTCCTTCCACCCCGCCCTCGCCGCCACTCCCCTGGCTTTGCCCACGTCGCCTGTCCCCGGACTCGGAAAGTCCGCTTCCAGGTCCCGATCTCTTCGCTCGCTTTCCCGGCACAAGCAACCCCAGGACCCCTGAACCCTACGTGTCCACAGGGACGTGCACAAGCCTTGTCTTTGGGTTCCTGCGATCCCCACCCCGGGTGCCCCGAGCCACGCGCACGCCCACTCTGAGGTGCCCAGCAGTCCCCCAAAGGGCGCAGAGCCCTGCGCCCGCCAAGCTTCCCTCGGGTCCTGGGTCCCGCGCGCGCCTTCCCGGCGCCCCGCCAGCTCGCTCCCTCGGGACCCTCAGGCTGGTCGGCGCTGCGCCTCCCGGGTCGGACGCCGTGGCCCAAACTCTGCAGCCTCACCGTGTTCTTCCTGGCTACCATCTTCTCCAGCTTTTTGGCGATTCTCAGCAGCTCCTCTTCCTGGCCCATGTTGGCCCGTGACGCCCGGAGGGGCGACGGGTGCTGGGGCAGCAGCCGGGCCTCGGGGGTGGGAGGCACAGAGGCGGAGGGCGCACAACACGCGCGGGACGCAAATACACACGACACACACGCCTGGCGGGGGCGGGGTCCCCCTCCCCGCCCGCCTGCCTCCGACGTGGGGGAGGGGTGGCGTGCACTAAATATAGATTTCAAGGACTTGCTGGGGCAAAGATTGCCCGCGCCGGCCGGTCGGGCCTCCCGAGCGGGACAAGGCTTCGAGAGGGGGGCTCTTCTCCTCCGACCCTTGGCGGGGGGCGGGGGCCGGGGGCGGTGTCGGGAGCTGAGGGAGGTTTGGGGAGGGAAGCTCTCTGGCGAGTCAGGAGGTCCTCGTCCCGGGACACAAAAGCCTGTCCGGGTGAGAAGGGCGCCTGAGTGTGCAGCGGGAGCTCCGGCAAGAGTTCGGGACTCACGCGTGTCTGCACCGTCACAGCTCGAAGCGGGCGGACCCAACTCCGCGCCTGTGCCCCAATGGAGGCAGCTCGGTGCGCTCAGATCGCATTGGGGGCGTGATCGCTGAACCGAACTCTGCCGGACTCTGTGCTCCCTCACATCCTGTGCGCACGCGTATCCAGGCCTTCTGTTTCGGACTATTTTGTGACCGTTCAGTTTCGCAGCGTTTCACACGGTCCTGCAGAAGAGCTACGTTGGTGCTGCCGCTTCAGGGCGGCATGGAGTAGTGAGGGCTTGGTAGGTTCACAGCGCCCGAGTTTGAGAAATACTGACCCAGGCGCACGGGCGCCCTCTGTTCCCCTCTGTTGGGGCCAGGCCACTGCCTCCCCAGCGGGAGGGCTCGTGGAGGGGTCGTCTCGGGCGGAGAGGAGGAGACAGAATTGTGCCACCATAGCTGCGCACACATTTGTGTTTCTGAGGAAGGACCTCCCAAGGGTCTCCGGCACCCAGGCAGGTCTCTTCCCAAACAAGAGAGCTTAATTGACAGAAAATTATCTTTTAGAGGGATAGGTACTTAGGGATCTGGCAGGGAGGCATGAGAAGCGGTCCACAGTGCGTGGGGCGGGGGGGCGGGGGGAGCTGCGGTTTGGGGTGTTCGGTGACATCTTAAGACTCTCCTGGGAGAACCTGAGAGAACTCCGGCCCAGCCCTGTCCCAGAGACAGTGCTATGTGGTCTGGTCTGGCTTGGGACCGCTGCTGTGTGTCCCTGGACCAAGGTAGGAAAGGGTGATGTTTGTCATTCATTCAGAAATACGTTGAGTGTTCCAGCAACAAACAAGACAGACCCAGTCCCGGCAAGCTTGAGATTGGGTCTGCGGGCAAGAGAAACCCTTCAACAAATGTGGACACCGTCCATTCCGTATTGTCACAGCCAGGGTGAGGGGCAGGGAGAAGGGCACACACCTTAAGGACACGCTTGAGGGGGTGTCGTCTCCGAAGAAATGAAATTTAAACTTTGGGCAGAAGTGCGGAGTGGGAGTTGGAGGGAGGAGGAAGGGAGTGTTTACATAAGAGAGGAAACATTCATTCAACACACATTTATCAAGCACCTACTATGTGCCAGGCGGATCCAGCCCTGTGCATCCAGAGAGGAAGAGAGCAGTCCTCCTGGAGTTTCAGATGTGCAAAGTGTAGGGATGTGGGGGCGGCTGAGCGTGTCGGGGTTGGAGGAACTGAGAACCTGGCGTGGCTGCAGCACAGAGGTGAGAGGGGTGTGGGGAGAGATGAGGCGGAAAATCAGAGACCGGTGACGCCCAACCACGCAAAGCGCCGCAGGCCACTTCTCCGAGGTTAGACTAGCAGTGTGGGGTTTGGGGAGGTCTCTTGACCAGCCCCCAAGCGAGCCCCTCCAGACCCAAGGGACAGCTGTCCGCAGCCACTCAGGATTGCCTTTCCAAAAACTGCTTGCAGCTCTTGGCTGGGAGGAGGCCTAGGTGCAACTTTCTCCGGTCATCAGAATCCAGGTTCATCCGACGCCAATTGCCTCCACCGAGCACCCGCGAGGATGTCGGGCCCTGTCCGCCCTGGCCCCCTAGATCGGCCCCCTGGGCCTTTCTCCAGAAAATGTCGGTGATTTTATCGCCAAAGCCCCTGGTGACTGGAAGGGTCTGAGGGTCGCGGTGAAACTGGCCACTCGGAGCAGAGAGGCCCGAGCTACGGCCTTGCCTTCTGCCCCTGCCCTGATCTCAGGACCACCACCAGACAGAAAGAAGCACAACAACAACAAAACAAAACAAAACGCCATTCAGCACAGTGGAAATATCACTTTCGATGAGATTGTCGACATCGCCCCACAGTTGTGTCACCCATCTTTAGCTAGAGAACCCTCTGGAAGCACCCAAGGGATCCTGGGGACAGCCCCATCTGCGGGCTGCGACCATGCTGGTCGCCACCCCCGTGATGTCACAGATAACATCACTGATGACGTCCACAGTGGCGCGGGCTGTGGGCTGCGGGGCTAGTGAACTGCTACGGAGGGAACTAGTTCAATTCAAGGTCATTTGATAGTAAACGAACACATTTGGTTTTCCTCACACATCCGCCCAGGTCCCCCTCTGAGGTGTGTGACAATGAAAGAAGCCAAGACGCCTGCATCACCAGGGCTCAGGGGACCCCAGGAAAATGAGTGGGACCCCTTCATGGCGTGGATGGGGAGACAGGCCCAGAGCGGCCCCGGCTTGCACTGTGCGAGTGCTTCAGAAACTGCCGGCACCCACTCATGTTTCCCCTGCCCACCCGCCCTCCCTAGAGGTCACCTGCGGGCAGGTCCTGGACACGCTTCTGACATCTTCCCCCTCTCTGACCGCGGGCTCCCAGGCACTCGGGGAGAGCTTGGGAATGGACACCCCCAGTAAGGACCTTCCCTGCCGACAAGAGACCTGCCCTAACCGGTGTGGTTCAGTTGGTGGCGGGGCAGCGTCCTGCAAAGTGAAGGGTCTCAGGTTCGATTCCTGGTCGGGGCACGTGCCTGGACTGCAGGTTCAGTCCCCAGTCGGGGGGATGTATGAGAGGCACCCGATCGGTTTCCTTCTCACATCGATGATTCTCTCCCTCTCTTTCTCCTTCCCTTCCCTCCTTTCTAAAAATAAATAAAATCTTAAAAGTAAATAGACCAGAGTCGGTGGGAAAGACACCGATTTCTTCGCTCGATGGGACAGCTTGAAGGCATGTATGTCATCTATATGTTCTCGCAAAGGTCGCCGGTGAGGTGAGCCCTGATCCGCACGGAGACAGCGCCTCATTAACGCACCCTGTACTGCCTTCTACGCTCCTGTTTCACTTCCCTGCTCCCTCCTTGCGCTTCCCGGGATCACTCGGCAAATAAACTGCCTGAGCCCAAACACCCGCATCAGGGAAAACCGAACTGAGACGCGACCCGAGCGGGACCGGCGCTGAACGGCAGGCCTCCTCACTGCTGGGCCGCGCTCTTCGCTCCACGCCAGCGTTTCTCCGTGGTGGCGCCGCTGTTAGCGTTCTGGACCTGAAAACCCATCACTGTGCCGGGCTGACCTGTGTACTGCCGCCTGTCTAGCAGCACCCCTGACCGCTAGCCACTAGGGGTCAGTAGCTCCATCCGATTGGGAGCAGTGACCCACGTGTCCCTTGGGGCCCAATTGCCCCAGGCTGTGGCCCTTACAGGATCCAGAGGAAGATTTCCAAGCCCTAAGTTTCTCTCTGCTTCCCTGCTGCACTTCAGATCACATAAATAAAACACTGGGATTTACTGGAGAAAAAAAAGGAAAAAGGAAAAGAAAAGACATTTTTTTTTTTTTATTAGAGATGAATGGAAGAACAAGTGTGGGCCCCGGGGGCCGGAAGACAGCTCTGCCACCGGGGAGCGCAGAGCAGTCGGTCTGCGCTCGGACCTTTGCCTTGGACCTTTGGACCTCGGACCTTTGACCTAGACCTCGGACCTAGACCTCGGACCTAGACCTTTGACCTGGCCTCGGACCTCGGACCTAGAGCCAGAACGTCCAGGGCAAACGGCCCGCCACAGTGCTGGCCACTGCCACCCCCCGGCCTCCCCTCCATGGCCAGGCCCATCGGCCGCTGTAAAGCGAGGGAGTTAGACCCTGATGAGGGCTTCGTGGGCCTGTTTTCTAATAGGTGGCTGAAGGCCTGGGTGGAACTCCCGGCACTGGGAAGCAGAACCGTTTCGTCTCCGCCCTCCCATTCCTGTCAGTGTCCTGTCACCTGTCCTGACCCTTCCTTCCCGAGACTGGAAGGCTCCCGAGTCAACCAAGAGAAAGCGGAGAGAAGCGAGAAGCCATCGCCCAGGACGCATCCTGCTAAGTCAAGGAGACCCGGCAACGGGGGCGAGTCCTACTCTGCTTCCTGGCTGGGAATACGGCAGGGGTCCCAGGAGGGCTGTCCTGTCCCTGACAAGGAGTGACACTCAGAATGTTTAGTTAACAGGCAGTGAGGGCGGCCCGGACACGGACCGGCCAGAGTGCATACGGGCTGTGGACAGCTGCCGTGTCGCGTCGGCCGGCCCCGACCCCCACACCACTGCCCCGCCCATTCCCTAGCTCAGCCCTGGGACCAGCGTCCCCGCGAGGGGCCACGTCTGCAGGGCCCTCGTCTCATCCATGTGGCATCTGCAGTGCCTGGTACAGGTCTGGGCCTAGAGCCAGAACTCAGGAAGAAAGCACTGATGAATGGACAAGGAGATGGTCCCTGGTCTGGAGGACGATGAAGGCAGGCTGGCCCTATTCTTGGGACACCCCCAGACTGAAGGAGGAAGCAGAGCCTTGGTCCCGTGGGGGGCTGAAGGCTGAGGGTCTGCAGTGGAAGCAAGCTCAGGGGCACTCAGATCCAGCCAAAGGGCCCCCTGTACCAGCGGGGGCGCAGTTAATGAGATAGAGGGGAAAGAACCACCATCAGCCCTAACGTGGTGTCGTCGGCAGGGGCGGGGGCCCGCGGCAGGGAGGCAGGCCAGCCTCAGGGGCACAGGGACAGAGAGAGCAAGACCCAGAGAAATGAACACCTCGGCTCCCCAGTCTTGTGGGCGCAAGTCCCAGCTCTGATCGTCGGGGGCCAGCGAGGAGCTAGTCTTGCAAGAGCTGCACAGAACTTGCTGGGAGAACCCCGGTTCTTAAGCCTCCTCCTTCAGTGAAGCCAACCTGGGGAGACAAGGATGAAAATGGGCATTTTTCTAAGCACTTATTATATACCAGCTGTTCATCTCACTCAGTTTCACAACTGTCCTATGGTGATGACATTATATCACAATACGGGGGTAGAGAAAAGCATCTCCATTTTATAGACAATGAAACTGAGGCTCAAAGAAATGAAGCCACTTGCTCAAGTCTCCTCACTCTAGAGCTAGAACTCTTATTGTCATACATGCTTCAACGAGAAGCATCAGCTAAATGCTGGGTAATAGATACCTGTCTAGGGACACCGATTCGTGTTTGGTGCCTGACTTTGACGGACTGAGGATGACAATCCCCAGGGACACCCAGCTCCTGCCCCTCCCTTCCCCCACTCCTAACACAGACCGCCCGCGCCACCCCTGAGGAATTCCCAGGGGAGCAAGGAACAGAGGAGGCTTCCTTCCCGATGCCACTGGCTCTGTCCTTTGCCATTGCCAGCGTCAACTAAACAGATGCACAACCTCTCTGCCTGGGAGCTGGTGAGCTCAGCAGACTGCGGGGGACTCCTGTGCTCAGGAAGACTGGTGCACAGCCACCCTCATCCTGCCTCGACCGCAGGGGAGTGATTCCTTCTCTCTGAGCAACCAGCCCGGCTGACAGAGCTTTGCCCGTCCTCTCCTGGGGAGTGCCGGAGCTTGGGCCTCCTCACCTCTGCCATCCCTCAAGGCCTGGGCTCTCCCCCGCTTCACCCAGCCTGGGCCGGAGCAGGGGGAGTGGAGCACCAAGACAGGAGATGGCCAAACTGTGGCCACCTTGGCCGGTGTGTGCCCCAATCCTGGGGAGAGGTCTCCCACCCTAATCCACCCCCTTTTGACCAACTCCGCCCCCAGGTACTCTGCCATCTCCCCTCAAATGACAGTCCTGAGCTCCTACCTACTGACATGCTCCTTCTGGGTAGGGGCTGCCTGGCTGAGGAGTGATCTTCCAGGTTCTGGCGCCCCCCCGCCGATAGGAGCGAGTGCTCTCGGAGCTGGAAAGCAGGGAAAGGCCAATGTGACCCCGATGCCTGCAGGGCTCCCCCGCCCCCGGAGCAGAGAGAAAGGGCTCAGGTGCAGAACGAGGCTGGAGGGTTTAGGATGGGTGGGTGGAGTCCACGCCCCCCCCCACAACTGGGTCTATCACAGGTCCCAGAGGCCTGGAAATGACCTCCAGAGAGTCGGAAATTTCCGCTTGTCTACTCCCCACACTCCCAACTGAAAGGGTGTGTAAGGAAGAGAGGACTGGACTCTGGGCTGAAGGTGGAGACGGAGTGAAGACCCCACTGACAGCCTCTAGGACAAGCCACACAGAAGGGACTCAGTCTTGCCTACTCCAGCTTCAGCTTTCTGGGTCCCAGATTCCTAACATTCCAGGCCAGACTCGGGAGCAAGTGCATAAAGCGGGGAAAGAAGTCTAATCGCCCTCCACTCGAGGTCTAGTATTTCTGTACTTGTCACGGGCTTCAGGGCTGGAAGGTATCCCAGTCTTCAGGCAGACACAGTTTTGAGGTGGGAAAATGAATGGATGCCCAGAGAGGTCAGGACACTTGCCCAGGTTGCACAGCTGAGCTCTCACCAACCTGAACCTGACAGGGGCGCACGTCTCCGCAGGGGTGGTTCCAGGTGTCAGGCTGGGTCGGGAGGTGCTCGGGGCTTCCAAGGTGCCCTCTTCAGAGCTGGGTGGGGTTTGGGTGCCACCCCCAAGTTCCACGGGGCTGGTAAGGCTAGAGGTGGAGGACGTCGGACTGCCCTGGCTCTCAGGGGCCCCAGGAGGCTCTGAGCTCAGGCTGGGGGCTTCGGAATGATCTGCAATCAGAAATGATAAAGCCTGTCTCTATCTCTTATTCTGCTCAGTTTCGAAGTGGTCTCTGGCTTCTAGGATCTCCCCACTCCCCGGCTGTCTCTCCAGGGCCCTCCTTCAGCTCTTCCCCATCGCGCCGCAGTCTCACCCACCCACCCATCCACGACGTTCATTCACAACAGCCAGGGCCACGGGGGCACGCTGCCTGGCGGTTGCTCACACATTCCAGGCTCTCAGTCCGGGCTCTCCCGCTCGTCCCTCAGACTCAGCTCAGAGGCTGCCCCCACCACCAGGAAGCCTTCCCAAACCACCCGGCAGTCCCAAGCGGACATGCTCTCTCCCTCTCCTGAAATCCCAGAACAAGCCCGTTCATTCATTCATTCATTCATTCATTCATTCATTCAACAAATAGTTCTTGGGGACAGCCAGGCAGCCGGGCACCGTGCTGGGTGCTGGAGAAGTGGTAGGAAGCAAAACACTCCAAGTTCCCGCCGCCCTGGGATTCACGTTCCTTATAGCGCATTCCGGTTTTTGTCTCCCCCACTTGACTGTGCCTCGGTAGCCCCCAGAGGCCTCAAGACGTAGTGGGTGCTCAGTGAATGCTTCTCTCTCTGTTTAAGTGAAGCACTGACGAATTTGGAATAAAACAGACCTGGGTTTGAATCCCGCAGAGGGGACTTCTCTAAGTTACTTAACATCTCTGCTCCTGTACTTGTAAGGGGAGATGACAACCCCCACCTGCGGGGTGACAGGGACCAACATATGTGCTCCGAGCTCAGTGCCCAAGCACACAGCAGGCCCTCAATGAACGGCAAAACGAGCATTTCTCTGGGAAGCCAACCATACCTCCACTGGTATGTCCCGTGCGGCCCTGGACCATGGCCCGAGAAGGGTTTTTGACCGGCAAGGGTGGGGGGCAGTCCTCACTCTGGCTCTGAGGGGCAGCAGATCCCAGGCTGGTGAGGGCCTCGTAGGTCTTGTTGCTGATGTCCATCCTCCCGCTGGCGCAGTGGACCGGGGCCGGGGCCTTCAGAGGGCAGCCCTGCTGGGGCGGAAGTGCAGGAGGGATGACAGCCTGGTTCCCCAGCGCAGCCCCGCCCCTCCCCCCAGCAGGCCCAATCTGGTTCTTTCCTTCTGCTGTCTAGAAGCCTGACAGGCAGGGACTGGGACCCACCTTCTCTTCCTCCTCCTCCTCACTGTCAGAGGCAGGCTCTGCAGAAATTCCCCAGGAGTAGTCCACGTGCAGAGGGAAGACGAGGGTCCCAGCCTGGGCCTGTTCCAGCTGCCAAAAACAAAGCCTGGACAGTTCAGAGGGCCAGGGCTCAGGGGAGAGAAGGTCAGGGTACCCCTCCTTCCCTGGACCTCACCAGCTCCACACACTCCTTGTGCAGCTTCCTCCTGGCTATGTCCAGAGCTGTCTCTCCGTCATCGTTCACTGCCAGGGGTAAAGGCAGGAGTCGGGGTCAGGGTCAAAGCCGCGTTAGAGCTTAGAGGTTAAGATGGGCCTCTGGAACCAAACCGTCTGGGTTTGAATCCTGGCTGTGCTACTTCCTGGCTGTGTGAGCTTGGGCCTTACTTTTCTCATCTTATAAAATGAGCATGATGGCCCTGGCTGCTGCGGCTCAGTGGATTGAGCGCTGGCTTGAGAACCAAAGGGTTGCAGGTTCGATGCCCAGTCAGAGCACATGCCTGGGTTGCTGGCTGGGTCCCCAGTGGGGGGGCACACGAGACGCAGCCACACATCGATGTTTTCCTCTCTTTCTCTCTCCCTTCCCCCCTCTCTAAAAATAAATAAATAAATAAATAAATAAATAAAATAAAATCTTAAAAAAATGAGTCTGATACTTGTAACCACCTGGCCAGGCTGCTGTGAAAAACGAAGGAGTGCGTGCGTGCAGAGCACTGGGCACCTTACCCGGCACATGTTACACAGTCAATGGGGGCTATCAGACTCACTGTCATTCAGGTTCAGCTCACGTTTGTTTGGTCAGGTACTTTCAGAAACAATATTTCCTTTTACCCTCTTAGCAGGCCTATTAGGTCAGTGGTATTATTCCCATTTTACAGATGAGGAAGCTGAGGCTCAAGAGCTGAACAGGCAAACCCCACAGTCACACAGGTGGTCAGAGGCAAGCCAGGGTTAAGACCCAAGTCTGGCTGCGAAGTGCGTGCTTGTGACCAGCGCTGTGCCTGGGGAAGAGGCAGGGGGTCCCACCCGAGGGGCAGTCAGGGGTGGGAGTCTGATGGCCCCACCTGTGCCAACGGAAGCTCTTCCTCTCAGCAGCAGCTTGAGGCAGTCGGGTTGGTTGTAGAGAGCAGCGTAGTGCAGGGCACTGTTCCCATTGGCAGCTGTGGCGTCCAGGTGACCGCTGCGGAGGTGTGGTCAGGGAGGAAGGAAGGGGAATCAAGAGGGGAGGGGTCAATGTCAGGGTAAGAAGAGGAAGAGGAGAGGAGGGAGGAAGAGTGGGAGAAGAGCAAGGCAAGGGGTCGGAGTGAGGACGTGGACAGACAGGCAGGGAGGTTTCTCACCCATTCTGAACGATGAAATCCACCAGGGGCAGGGAGGCCTGGGTGGCGACTCTGACAGCCAAGTGCAGGGCCAGCTCTCCGGGTGCCTGAATACACGTCCACACCTCTGAGTTTCCCCCAGGTCACTCACCCCCAACCCAATACTACCCGCTTGAACCCTTGCTGCCTCCTGACACCTCCAGAGAAGAAGCTGCCAGAACCCCTGTGAGATGAGACTGAATGGACAGACCTCACGTTGGAAAGGAGGGTGGAAGACCATCCCCTCATCTCTTCCTACAGTGGCTCTGGCTCCTCCTGCCCCCAGTCGAAGATGTTTCCCAAACTTGGTTCTCGGCCCTAGGCTCCCCTCTCTGCTCCTCTCCCTGCCACCCAGGGCCTCGGCTCACCTCATGCTTTCAGCTACCACTCACATAGGCTGTTCCAAGTTCTGACCTCCCCTTCATGCTGCACGCTCACTGCCCGCTGACAGCCCCACGAAGATATCAGACAGCTCACAGACATGCCACCCCCTCGTGGATGTCCGATCAGTCAGCTACTCCTATCAATTTTATCTTTCAAGTGTCTGATTGTCCCCCGCCCCTCTTCACATAATGTTTGTTCCTGGAAAAGCCATACACTGGCCTTCCTGCTCCGATCTGACCCACCTTTATCCCTGTCTAAGGGTGTTCAAGAAAAAAATGATACTAACAATTTACTGCACACCTATTGTGCACAAGGCCCTGCACAGACAGGACCAAATTCTCATTTCAGTGCTGTGGGTGCTATCATAGCCCTGCTTGACAGACGAGAAAAGACTCAGAGAAGTGACCTGCCATGGACCGCACAGCTAGGAGCGGACAGAGCCAGAACTCGAGCTCAGGTTTGCGTGACTGAACCTGTGCTGTTCCCCATCTACCCCTCTGATGGGTGGGCTTCTGCAGATGTCTGAGGCGGGCAGTGGGGAGTCACAGCTGGCCCCGGGGACCGGGGAGTATGTGAGAGTGGGTGGGTAAGTAGTGGTCCCCAGAGGGGTTCTCACCTGCCCCTCCGGCCCCGGCAGCAGCTGTCCGAAGTCCTGCCCGTTAGCGAAGGCCTCCAGGACCGACAGGAGGTCCCGGTTACAAATGGCCATCCAGAGTCTCTGAGGCTCCGGTGTGGACCGCCGGGCAAACCTGTGCTCCACATACTTGGCCACGATATAGTCCCTGCGGGCACTCCTGCCAAAGACAACCGCTGGGTCTCAGAGCAAAAGCAGTTTCCACCCAGCTGACCCCTGGAACCAGTCCACAGGAGACAAGGGATCTCCTTTCCCTGGAGTCTGTGCTGGACCCTTACAGATCTGAGGCTCCCCTCTCCCCGGACTTCTGGTCCAAGATGCTTCTGGGACCTTGGGAGCCAGCGGGGCAGAATCCCCAGCCAGGACGCCCTCCATCGGAGAATCCCCTTACATGTCACTGTCAGCTGAGGGTTTAGGGCCGCCATGTGAGGGCAGCTGGGCTTCCATGACCTCATTGAAGCGTGTGTTTCCGATGTTCAAGGCCAGCTGGAATCATAGGAAAGTAAGACGAAGTGGTTAAAACAGCGCCCCCTGGCGGACGAGCCCTCAGAGATACCCACTCTCCAACTGTCCGCTTTTCTGGCAGTTCCAGATCGGGCCTCACCCCAGCCACATCCCCCTAGACCCCACAAGCTCTGGCTGAGCTAGTCTGCCCAAGCCCACCTCCTGATCAAGCCACACCCCGCAACCCCTCTGTCCCCGCCCCACCCTCACCAACAGTTCGGAGGGACACAGCAGGTCCAAGGTGAGGGACTGCATGCGCGAGAATCGCACGCCCAGCTCTCGGTGGACGCCAGAGCACTGGATGCAGGTGAGCACGCCCAGGTTGGTGCTGAGCCACGTGGGGTCTGCAAGGGAGGGCAGCTCGTTCCTGGAGGTGTGGGTCCCTCCCCGCCCCTCCCACCACCCTCCTCCGAGGCCCCACGCCCGCTCGGACCTGCAGCTCCGCAGTCGCAGCACTGGCCGTTCCCAGGCCTGTTCTTCACCTCCGCGATGAGCAGCTTGGTGAGGTCCTGGAGCTCCCCGTCCAGCCCAGCACTCCCGCAGGGCCCTGGGCAGCCGCTGGGCTCCCCGAGGAAGGCACTGCTCAGAGCTTCGTCCTTGCTGTTTTGCAGCACTGACACCCACCTGTGGAGAGTGTGTCCAGCGGTGTGGGGAGGGTACGGGCCGGAACCCGGGGTTCTGCCTGTCAGGCTCCCTGGCTCCCACCCCCTCTGCACTCCCCAGGCTGGTGGTAGAGAAGCACTTACGCCTCACACTCATGTTCGTCCTCCGCCTGGAAGTGGTACGTCCTGTTGTCTGTGGGGAGAGGAGGAGATGTCTGGGCTACAGAAGTCCTGCCCGCCTTCCCTGAGCCCAGGGAGTCTGCACCCAAACCACTGGCTCCAGGTGGAGCGCTAGACCCTGAGGGCCGAGGCTTAGCCGGGAGTGGGCCGGTAATGGCAGCGGCCAGCAGAGGGGGCAGTGTCTCAGCAGGGACCTACAAACACCTACAGAGTCGATCCCAGCAAGACTCTCTGCGTGCAGCCCGGATCCCAAGGTCAGGGGAGGTCTTCTAGGGCACAGGGCCCCACCCAGCTCACAGGCAGTGCCTCCTCTGAACCCCGCTGCCACCACCCCACCTGGCCCCACGGCCCCTATCTTGGCTCCCTGCTCCTCATCTCCTCCCCTCGCCCAGCCTGTACCAGCTGCCAGATGGTTGCAGCGGAAGGTTCTGCGCTAACCGCACCTCTCCCTTGCTCCAAGACCCGCCTTGGCTCCCTGCTGCCGGGAAATAAGGCCCACACCTTTAAGAGGCATTCCTAGGCTTCATCCCCGACTACTCCTAGGTGAAGACTACACTCTGGCCAAACTGGCCAGGCCTACGCTCCTGTTTTTATGCCTGTCCTCTCGCCAATCCTGTCTCCTGAAGCGCCCCCCCCTCCCCCGCCCAAACTCTGCCTCCTGGGTCCTTCAAGGCTCCATGCTCTCTCCAGGCAGCCTCTCCTGACTGCGCACAGCAGGGCAGCCGCAGGCCTCCCCGCTTTCATCTTCGACAGTGCTGCTGTGTCTATCTGCACCTCTCTTCTGCAGCCCCCCTCTGGGCCTCCAGTCACACCCCTGCCGGAGAGGGCTCCCCAAGGGTGAGGCCTAGGCCGCTGTCCACCTGCGCCTGCCCCAGGAAGGGCTGGCACCGAAGGCTCCGAAGGATGAAACGGGAACTTGTTGAAGTAATAATAATTCCAAAAGCCAAACTACCCAAGTCCATCCAACTGTGCTTTACAGAGTGTCCGTAGCAGCCGTTCGACAGACAGGTGTGGGGTTGGACACAGGCCCCTGATCGCTGCCACCTGGCTGCGGACAGGTCTCTCAGAGGAGCCTTGGGCTGCTGTGGGGAGGGGCCAGGGACTACTCACGAGTCACCAGGTCGAAGCACTTTTTCTCCTCGGGGTTCGGCCTCACTTGGCACGTCAGCAGGGTCAGCTTCACCGGGGGCCGGTTTATCTGTGGGAAGTCAGGGGTGGAGGGCATACATGTTACCCTCTGGGCCTGCCAAACCCTCGAGGCCTCTGTTTCTCAGTCTGTTAAATGGGCATAATCCAGTTCCCGTTTCACGTCTCCCCTCTCCCAGCACCCCAGGGTTGTAGAATGTGGGCCGAGGCGAGGCTGGGAGCTTTGGGTCCCATCTTTCCCTCCACAGGGGGCTCCAGCAACCCGGATCCAGGTTTGGGGGTTGGTCTTAGAGGAGAGGGCTTGACACTTGTCCGCTCGGAACACCAGGAGGAGAAAGGACCTGGGGTGCCGCGACACCCCCACCCCCGGGCCTCACCATGCTGTGTGAGATGGTCAGGCAGCCGTACTTGACTCCGCACTTCCTCTTCTGCCAGACTCTTCGAATTCTGGGGCCCAGAGGGATAGGAGACAGTGACCCAAGGCTTACACCTAATTCCTCTGTGTCGGAAAAGAGTCCTGGCCCAGATCTCCAGCCCCAGCCACACCCCTTCCCCTCTTCTGTCCCCCCACCCCTAGACCCGTCCCTTTTGGCACCCCCTTCTGAAGGAGGAGACGCAGCTCTGCCCAGAAGCAGCTCCCAGTCTGATGGGGGAAACAGCCTCACTCTCTGGGAATCCTCATGCTGAAGGGGACCAAGTGGCCTTGACTCTCTGAGAGCTTCTAGTCTGATACAGGAGACACAGCCCCCACCTTAGTGCATTCCTCATCTGAGCGGAGGCCCGGGCACTTGACCACAACAGATTACGGGTAAAGACAAAGTGAGATAAACACTGGGACCCCAGAGACACAAGGAGCAAACCCATGCTCCGAAGCTGCGTAACACCACTGTAAATGTTAATCGGTTTAAGTTACTCTTCTCTGATAAAAACTGACTAGAAAGCAGAAACATGAACACATGAGACAGATACTGAGCCAGCAGTATCCATCGCTGCAGATGCTCATCGAAACACAAGAAAAACATACACACAGACAACCTAGTCCTGTGGGGAAATAGGTACAAAACGGCCACTCTCTCTAGTGGAGAGCGCCCTGAGTCGCTGCCTGAGCAGGCTTTTATTAAGAATACAGACACAGTTTGTGGACTACAGTCTGGCAGGGAAGATCAAAAGGAATAGGTAGCTTTCAAAGGTGCTGGTAGATCTCCCGCTGGGATTCTGGGCTGAGATTTTGGGTTTTATCACTTAAAAAGACTACAGGATCTAAAAGGCTAGTTTCATTTCCTGCCTGTGCCTTCATATTCTAATTCAAGAGCATCCTCCAGCAAGCAGATCTCACAGGATCTTGCATATTCTGTGTCCCAGGCCTGATTACCCAGGGGGTCCACCGACTCCGGTCTGGGCTGCACCACCCCTGTTATTTCCGCAGGCCTGAGTCGGGTAGAGGAGACAAAGGCAACCAGGAGACTTGGATTTCTCACAGCCAGAACAAGGACTCAGGCTTTGACAAAGGCAAGGGGGCAGAAGTTGATGTTGATCACCCCCTCATTTCCATAGCCCCCCTAGTCCTTCCCTGAGGCTTCCTTGTGATCATGCCTGTCTTAGACGATTCCCCCCTTGGGAAATCTTGCCAATCTTTGGCTAACTGATCAAGCATCGGAGGCCAGGCACAGAACAGGCAGCGTTCATGCCAAAGAAATAAGTTTTGTCTCCTTAGTGGTTCTTGGTCTGGAGATCTCTCACTCAGCCTAAGTCTTGGGGGGTTACAGCTTCCTGAGACCAGGCAGGGCAGACTCCAACAAACACACATCCCATAGAGTCCTTTGCATTTCACAGACTGGTTTTTTTACACCGGGGGGCAAGGCACAGGCAGCACTGTCATTTCCAGGCGTGTTCAGTACACTGGAGAGGTTAGGCATGAGGGCGTGCAGACTGTCGCAGGGGGCCCAGCCTGCGGCCCGTGGGCCACATGCAGCTCAGCGTGGCTAGGAATGCGGCCCAACACAAAATTGTGAATTTACTTAAAACACTATGAAATGTTTTTGTGTGTGCTTATGTGTCTCAATGCATTTAACATGTGGCCCAAGACAACTCTTCATCCAGTGTGGCCCAGCAGCGCCACACGTTGGGACACCCCTGGCAAGGACACAGTAAGTGCTCAGAAAGTGTCAGCGGCTGCTATTGTTCTTCTTCACGTTATGAACAACCAGTGACTCTTAGAAGTTCCTGTGCCCAGGACTGGGATGATTTTGCATGGCCCAGTGGAGGGTCCTGGAGCCCTCAGGGTTTATGCAAATGATAAGAATGGTCCTTCTGGTCGGCAACTCCAACCCTGACTTTTACTGTCTGTGTGGCTTTGGGCAAGTCACTCCAGCTCTCCGGGTCACTTACCCATCACTTTTCTTGTATAGAAAGCCCACCTTCTCCGTCCCAAACTGCTTGTTGCCTTGGTGCTGGTGGATGCTGTAGCCACACCCTGAGTTCTTCCGGCTCGTGTTCTCCTGTTCCTCAGACATGCGAAGGGGACCTCAGGTTGGAAAGAGCCCCATCCTGCAGGGGTCTCCCGCAAGGAGACTTAAGGGGATTCTGAAAAGTCTCCCTTCTCTCCTCCCAGAGCGCCCCCGCCCCCGGCATGGAGTGCCACGGGGGAAAGCACTCCTTTTGGGATGAACCAGGGGCTGACCTCTCTGTTCTCAAGCTGCAGCATCCCTCGGAGGGAGTCTCGGAGCTGGGTCAGCTTCTGCAGCTCCTCCTCTTGGGCTTGGCGCAGCTGCGGGACCGAGGGCAGGACCCCGTCAGCAGCCAGCAGATGTGCCAGGCGCAGAGCCCAGGGCCAGAGCTGCAGGGTGGGGGCCTCTCCCCCGGGCCAGGGCCAGCTCTTCCACACCCACAGATTCTCCCGGAAGGACGGGGGAGCTCGACCACGCGCCAAAGGGTGAGGCCCGACTTACTGCATGTACCGAGGCTGCCAGCTTCTCGATGAAGGGGGACAGGCTCTGAGCAGCCTTCCAGCCATCTTGGAAAAAGCTAAGAGGTGCGAGGCCAAACAAGGGACCCGAGGGAAATGAAAATGAGAGATAAAGCACGAAGTGTGGGGCAAGGGCTGTAAGGATCACCGGGCAGCACGGGCTAATGGTCAGGAACAGGCACCCTGGAGTTAGAGTGTCTGGGTCCGGGTCCCACTTACTCTGTGTGTGAGCTTAGTAAACCTGAGCCTCAGTTTTCTCATCTGTACAATGGGGATAATACGAGTACCTGCTCACACGGGTGCTGGGGGATTGAGTGAGATCAAGCGACACGTGGAGTGTGCTCAGTGGAGAAGGGCTGTAACAAACATTACCCACGAGGGACAGACACATGGAGTCCTTAAGGGGCTGCCAGACCCTGGGCATGGGCCCTGGTCTGTGTTGCCTGACAGGTTAAAGGGCGAGGAGCACTGGGGTGGGGCCGGGGATGTGGGAAGAAACCTACTTGTGCTGGGCGTGGAAGAACTTGATGAGGCTCTGCAGGAAGTCGGGACCTTGCTTCATCTGGCTCTCCCCGGCTTTGAGCAGGTACTGGGGGGCGGGCAGGGCAAGACGTGCCACATGAGCAGAAACTATGTCCTGGGGACAAGGGGCTGCAGTCCCCTCCCCAGGCTACTCCTCTCGGCCATGAGTGAAGCTTGATGACATCCCGAGGGCCACCTGACTGGGGCCTGAGCTGAGCCTGTGACCGGGCCCCTAGAGGTTCGGGAGGGGCAGACAGGAAGACGCAGCCCACCCTCCCCTCCCCTGGAGCAGCCGTTACCTCGCACATGTGCAGCTGGAAGACGCGCCGCTCTCTGTGTGTGTCCTGGGCCACCTCCCCAGGGTTCCCTCCTGTCGCCCTGGCCCGGTCCCTGTCCTTCTCCAGCCTGGTCCTAGGCCCCAAGGAAAGAGAGGTCTGAACACCTCTCGCGGGCCCCTTCCACATCTCACCATCCCTACGGCCTCCTCTCTGCCGCGGGCACATGAGAGTGAGGGGGCCCTCCTGTGTGCCCGCTGTGTGTGTGGGGGGTACACAGTGACAAAGGCAGATTTGGAGAACCCACAGGCTCGTGGGGGGAAAAGACGTGAATCAAATCACAGCCTTGAGGAGAGCGGTGGGGGGTCAAATGGGGCACTCGACCTTTTCCAGCTGCTCAGGAATTGGTGTTTGAGCTGGGATCTGAAGTCTGAGAAGTTGTCTCGGAGGGATCTAGGGCTGGGTAGGAGGACCAGAGCATGTGACGGCTGGAGGCAGGAGGGATCAGGAGCCCGGATGGAGAGGGAGGTGGTTCCAGGTGAGCTAAAGAGGGGCCAGACCATGCAGGGCTAACTCAGACCCTGTCGAGGTTCTTGGTCTTTATCCCAAGAGCAACGGGAACGACTTCAGGGTTTTAGGCCGGGAGGCGATGGGCTCAGATAAGGGCCAGGTGGGGAGCTGGGCCCCTTCCGTCTGATTTTACTGAAAGGGATTTAGTACCATGTGGGTTAGATGACCACTAAGTACCTTCATGCTTCTGAGCTGTGGAGTTTCCCATGCAAAGCTTAGGAAAACCTTTGTTCTTTTCTTTGTAAGTGAAGATAGAAAGTGCTTCCTATCCGAGTGACTGAAAGTAACCTGGGCCTTCTCCCAGCAGATCGCAAGTGCTGGCTGTTTTTCTCTCTGGGGGTGGGTGGCAATGTGTGTACACGGTTCCCTGGAAATCCCACACCTGTCAGACCACCCACTCCCACCCAGGAGAGCATTTCCATCTCGGAGGCAGGGCGCACGTGACCACGAATCCTGTAGAAAGGAGACGTCTCGCTGAACAGTTCTATGCCCACGTGGGGGCCAGCCCTGAGCACAGAAGACAGATGTGGGACACACTACGAGCTGCATTACTTTCCCTCTTTGAGCCTCAGTCTTCTCATCTGGAAAGTGGGGACCCTTACCTGTACCCAGATGAGAGAAAGTATGCGACAGCCTCAGCACATAGAAGATACCACAGCTATTATTGCTACAGGCCTCTCTGCGCCTCAGTCTCCCATCTATGAGCAGAGGGAGCAATGGCCCAGAATGGTCTCTCTGGCTCCACAGCGCCAGGCCTCACTGGGGTCAGACCTGTGGGATCGTGTTTACAGGCAGAACCTGCACCCAAAGCAACGTCTCAGCCTTGGGCCTAGAGACATTTCTGCCACACGGGTCTTTGCTGTGGGGCTGTCTTGTGGAGGCAGGTTGCTTCGCAGCATCCGTGACCTCTACCCACTAGATGCCCATCTCCCCAGTGGGGACAATCAGAAATGTCCCCTGGGGGCGAGGGCAGGGGTGCAATATCACCCTCGGGGGAGAACCCCTGCTCTGGAGCAGAGTTCTGCAGGCCTTTAAAACTTTACTCAAATTTTCTCAGAAGTGGTTATTTTTCATTCCAAATGGGAGTTTGTGGCAGGGTGGTGGAGCTGGGGGGTAAGTGGCAGCTCTGTGACACGGGCGGGAGCTTCTTTTTGGATCTGAAGGGGAGCGGGAGAGAGAGGGGCAATGGCCGGGCCTGCAGTGGGTCAGCGGCGGTGAGCCGGCAGCTTGCCAAGCAGGCCGGGACACTGAGTGGGCAGAGTGGCCGGCAGGGGGCAGGGGACTCTCCCAAGCATATACTGTTACTATTTCTTTCAGTAGTAAAACATAAAAAATAAGTTACACATCTAGCAATAGGAAGGGGTTAAATCAAGCATGCGATGTCCCTACATAGGAATACTACGCAGCTCTTAAAAAGGAGGCAGTGGCTCTATACACACTGGCGTTGGAAGGTGTCTGCTCCGGAGTGAGCGGGCGGAAGGGGAGTCTCGGTGTAACACAGTGGCTAGAAATGTGGACTCTGGGTCTGAATGGCAGCTCCCTCTCTTACTTGATCTTCCTAAGCTTACTTTCTCCATCCCAAACATGAGACGAATGCCGCCGCGCTCTCAGATGACGCGATCACACGGGAAGCATTTACGGCCATTCCTGGCACACAGTCCGCCCGCAGTAAGTGGCAGGAGCATGTTGATGCTGATGATGCTGACGAGCATCATCATAACTCCTGGTGATTCCTTCGGATAATTGCTTTACTACAGGGCACTTACTTATTTAGTCAATATTTTAAATACAGGGTCTAGCGGAGATTAAAGGACAGGGCTGCTTAGCTCAGAATGAAGGTAAGCTGTGAAGTACGATCCATGACTTCGTGAATTGCCAGAGCTCTGCCCCTCAGCCTCAGCTCTGGGGGTTTGGAGACTCACCCTGCAACGCCTGACACAGCCACCCAAGGGGACCCGAGACACCGCAGACTAAGAGCTGGGAGTGCTTTTTACTCCACACCCCCCCCCCCCCATTCCTGGCCACCTCTCTTCTTGCCGATAAACCAGGCGGATCCACCAAGGCGGGGTGGTGGCGGGTTTTCCCTCACTACTTACCTGCAGGCTGGGGATAGTGACAGCACCTCTCCCTGCGAAGGGGACTAACCTCATACCAGATGTAAAGGCCTGATCACAGTATCTGATCACAAAGTCAGCTCTTAAGTATAAGGATTAGCTGCTATTACTACTGATGAGTATTTTTAAGCACTCAAGCAATAGCCCCATTTTCTGGATGAGGAGCCTGAGATGATAAGTCACTTGTTCAAGTCACACAGCTGTTAGGTGGTAGAGCAGGATTTGAACCCACGTCTGTCTGGTGCCAGAGCCCTGGGGATGGCCCTGGTCACCAACGCTGTGCTCGGACTTGTGCCATCCCTGCTGCCCTGCCTGGTTCCCCCAGCTGGTGATAGTTACAGTGCCTTTTTTGATAGGTCATGGTCTATTAGGAGCTATTTTCCAGATGGGGAAGCTGAGACCCAGATGAGGGCGGTGACTGCCCGAGATCCCAAGCTGGCCAGGGGAATGCTGGGAGCGGGGGTCTAGGCTCCTGCCTCTCCGCCCCTTGCCGAGTTATTCTGGTCCCAGTTCTGGCTCAGAAGGATGGCCAGCCAGTACCTGTTGGACTGCGGTGCCAGGTGCTTTATGTACACTGCACTGATTTCATCCCTACGTCAACCCTGCAAGGACTCCCTGGCTCCATTTTTCGGATGAGGCAACAGACCCTCACAGTAGAACGGCCTCCATAAACTTGGCTCCTGCACAGGGCCTGGGATGCCCTTCTCAGCAGCTCTGGGTGGAGAGGGAAACCTCCCTCCTGTATGAAAACCCAGGGACGAGATGCCTGGTGCTGTCAGACACCTGCTATCAGCGCCCTGGGCCCTTCCAGCTGCTGCCCAGACTGGTTTGGTGAGAATGAGGCGGAATCACTCATCGACTCACGGCTCATCAATGCCTCGCTGTACCTGGAGTGCCCCCGAAGGGAAACGTACACAGACGTCTGTGCCAGGACAGGTAGCTCGACCAATGTAACATGCATGTCAGGAGCCCGGAGACCAGGTGCATGGCGGGAAGACCGCTGGACTAAGAAGCTTTGGGTTCTAGATCAGGCCCTATTGATAACCCACTAAATTATCTCAGCCAAGCCCTTTCCCCATCCATCACACAGAATCTTTTCTTTAAATGAAACCTTGCAGGCAAGTTCAGTGTATAAACCTGGTAAAAACAGAGCTTGTTGGGGAAGGTCAGTGGGGATGGGTTTACCCTTCCCACTGGGTACATGATGTCCCGACAGGCCAAGGCCTTCTTCCAGGTAACTCAGGAAGGCCACGTGACCCACATGAAGTTATAAAGAGAAAGCCTGTGTTGTCCACACCCCTCTCTAGGCCTCTGATGAGGGCGGATGGTCATGCCCATCACAGCTGCCACACCCGTCACAGGGTCTACACCCACGGCTGGCGTGGACATGGAGATCCCCTGGGAGGGAGAAGTCATGACCTTCATTCAGCCTGGGGAAGGTCCCCATGGCTCTGGGAGCTGGAGGAGCAATGGAGCTCCAGGATCTACTTCTCGGCTTTGAGCCTACAGAAATAATTATGCGTGAGAGCAAAGATTTCATTCTGAGTATGCTTCTCCAGTGGTAGGGGGGATGAAATACACTGTGGATCATGCCGATGCTGGCACACCTTGAATCACGCAAGCAATGTATAAGACTAGGTAATGATGTAGAGAGATGGTCATGATGCACTTTTTCTCTTTTTAAACTCTTGTGTGTGCCCTGACCGGGATCGAACCTGCAACTTTGGCATATCTGGACGATGTTCGAACTAACTGAGTTTACCTAGCCAGGGCCACAATGCATTTTTAAGTAAGAAAAAGTTTACACAATTATTATGATGTCAGTTTTATAAATATCTTTCTTTCTATATAGAAAAATAGCTAGAAAGATGTTAATACTTTTGCCTTGGAAATTAAGGATTTTCCTCCTAGTTTTTAGTAGTTCCTCCTTCCCCCACTCTTTTTAATTGATAAAGTTACTGTGTTACCCATATCATATAAAAAAAAAAATTCAAACAACAGAGAAGTACTAGATACTTCCCACATGACCCTAATCCTCTCCTCAGGATAATTAAACTTTTTTCTTCTTGTACTTCCTATTTTCTAATTTATTCATAATGAGCATGTATAGCTTTTGCAAAATGTAAGAGAAACAAATTTACAAAGAAGAGCAAACAGTGATCTGAGGTGTGGAGGGCCCGGCTGGGCCCCGGCGGAGGGCTGGGCCAGGACCTGTGCAGATTCCAGAAGGCAGAGCCCGAGGTGTCTCCACTCAGAGGGAGTTGGCCACTGGATGCCCGAGGCTCCTTCTGTCCCCATGATGTCATCGGTGGTGCCCATAAGAGGCCAGGGTATGACATCAACTCCCTTTCCTCCTCCGTGTCCAACTAAATGTTTATAGACAATACCTCGTGCTGCAGACAGAGGATCAAGGAACACGAAACCGAGCTCTGCCTCTGCCTAGCTGTGTGGCCTTGGGAAAGTGACTTAACCTCTCTGAGCCTCCAGTTCCTTCTCTGTTAATGGGGACACTGATATCTCCCTCACAGGGCTGGGCAATTGTGAGGGTTAAATGACTAGCATGGAGAGGCATTCAGTAAAGGGTGGCTCTTGTCTCTGCCACATCTGATGCCACCCAGCACATGGGTCTCTTCTAGCAGCATTCTGAGGTCACTTCTCCAGAGCTCCCCTTTGGCGGTCTTGTGGTCCAGCCCCCAGATTCCTGTTAGGCCTGGTCATAAACCACCGCCACCACGACAAACCCCGCCCCGGGAGAGCAAGATGTCACGCGCTTTTGGGCGTCACGTCCTGGCAGCGCTCAGGCTCTCCCCAAACCCAGCCTCCTGCTGCAGCGTAAGCGCCACTCTCCCGGGCAAACCACCCCGGCTGCAACCACTTACATTTTGGCTTCGAAGTCCTTCCACGCCTTCTCCAGCTGTTTTTTGGAATCCTGCGGTTTTAAAAAGAACAAAAATTTGCCCAAAGGGGCCCTTGGGGTGTGGAATCAACAGTACACTTTGCTGCCTTTAGGGGAACCCTGCGCCTGATTTCTTCCCACAGTTGCCAAGAATCAGCTGGGTTTGGTGGGCCCAGGCCCAGGATGTGGAGAGATTTGGGGGGTCCACCCTGAATTTGCTTCCTCAGAAGATGGAGATTACCATGAGGATGAGGATGGTGGGGGGGGGAGATGAAGTTCAGAGCCCCTTCCTCCAGCTTTATCCCTCCATTTTCTCCTCCCTGGTCCCAGACCATCCTCTCAATAAGAAGGGTACGGTGTGAAGAACATAAGCGCAGAGAGGTTAAGAAATCTGCCCAGGGCCACACAGCAAGCCAGGGTGACCTGGCTGATCCCTGGCCTAGTTTGCCTGGGCCTGGGCGCTCACACCCGCAGAGCAGCCCTCACTTCCGGGCGCCCCAGTCAGCGGGTGAAAAAGCTGCCCATCTGGTTTGGGTGGCTCCCAATCTGGTGGCTAGCCTCGGGTCAGGAGGGAAGCCTCTGGGGGGAGGACCGCTCCTCCCCTGGGCCTTCTGGGGCGGCCTTTCCAGGCAGATTATTGTCGCCTTCTCTGAGCTCCTCCCCGCCTCACGCCAGGAGCTGCCAGCTGCAGAGAGAGCAGCCAAGCACGGGAGTCGCGAGTCCGGACCCCACGCTGGCTCCTCCTCGCACCGACGGCGTCAACCCCAAGCAGGTGGCCAAACGCCCCGGGCCTCCATTTCCCCAGCTGGGGATGGCAGCACCTACAGACCCCACTCCACAGGGCTGAGGACTTCCATGAGCTACGTCACATCGGGCCCTGGCAGGCAGTAGGTCAGCCATCCTAGGCTCACCCCAGAGCCAGGTCCTCCTGTCCTTCTGAGTGTCAGTAATCCGGGGTCACTACTTCCCCGGTGACAGCCTCACTTGGCCTCCCCTAAGGTGCCCTGCCCACGCCTGGCTCGCTCCACCCCACAGCCTCTGGGCATCTCCCACTCCAGCCCCCATTCCCACACTCAAACTCACCTGCCGCCCGTCCCTCAGTTGCCCCTTCAACAGACTGTCCAGCGGGAAGGAGACGATGTTGTTCAAGTTCTGAACCTGGAAAAGGCAGACACCCCCATGGCCCACCTTGGGTGACCGTCTGTCCAGCCCCGAGGGGCTCGAGTGCAGGGAAGCAGCAGGAGGCAAAGGACACCGCTGGGGGTCAGGGAAGCCGGGGAGAGAAAGGGGAGAAGGTGGGGGGAGAAGGGGATGGCAGGGTTGGCCTCCTGTGAGAGCTGTTACCCTGGCTGACCAGCCTCGGCAGCTCACTGCCCCGGGAACGCCCATGGGCAGCCCCATCTCTGTTCTTCCGCCAGGAGCACCTTCCTGCCCCTCTCTGACTCTGAGGTCCCCCTGTCATGCCCACGTGTGGCTTTTGTCTGGCTAGTTCCTTGTCTCCCCTTGAATGTGGGGAACCCTTTCCCTGTGCTCACGTGGGGTGAATACAGGAATCAGAACTGACCAGAGAGTACCCCAGCTTTGGGCCATCGTGGTCGGATCAAGAACAGGCATGTGACCCAAGCCAGCCAATCAGATCCTTTCAGGGACTTTGCTGCCCCAGTCCTGGGAGAAAGACCGTGCCTTTCTCCAGGTAAGACATGAACTGGGCCTGCTGGGCCATCTTGCTCACTGAGCAGAGACAGAGGAACTAAGAGAAACAAGGAGCCTAAAGCCAGCTGCACTCCTGAACTTTCCATCATAGGGGCCAACGAATTCCCCTTTTAAAAATTAACCTAGTTTGGGTCGAGTTTCTGTCATTTGGCAACCTCAGATGGCCTGTCTGATATTTCAGCCCACCTTTCAGGGCACAGCCCAGGTCTCCCCTCCTCCAGGAAGCCTTCCTGACCACGACGCTCGTGGCCTACGCTGAGCTCCCCTTTTCTGAGTCTGTGCCATGCTGCTGGTGTTGCGTGGTATCGCCTACACCTCACTTCCTGTCTCTCCCGCTAGACTGCGGCTCTCCGAGGCAGAGGCTGACTCTTCCCTGTGCTGCCAGCCCTGCAGTGCCCGGCAAACACCAGCTTGAGTGACACAGGGACAGAGAGGTAGACACAAAGGAGGTCACTGACTCAGCTGAACTCAAACACTGTGAGGCCTGTGTGTGCAGGCCGGTGTGCGAGGCGCTGCCCCTCAGAGGTGTAACGACAGACGGCAATGCTGGCCAGCGCTCACTGGCATTCCCTCTGGAGTGGACACTCAGCTTGTGTGGTCTTCGTTGCAACTCTGTGAGGCGGGTCCCCTTCCTATCCCAGTGTCACAGACAGAGACCTGGGGATCAGGCAGGCTGAGCGGCTCACCCAGGGTCACACACCCAGAGAGCAGCAGAGTGGGGATTAGAGGCCCCAGTCTAAGTCCAAGGTCCGGGGACTTAACCACGGAGCAAACCGCTTCTTGGAGATGGTGGGACCCTGCCGGCCCTGGAGGGCACTGGTGGGACTCGAGCCACCAGAGCTGAGAGCCAGTCCCAGGAATCCTGGAAGGAGAGGGGCTTTCCTAGGAAGGGGTACCACCAGGCTTGTGCTCGGACGCTGGGGCCAGGCAACTTGGGTTTAGATCCAGCTGTCTGACCTCAGGGAAGCTGCTTAACCTCAAGTCCCAGGTTCCAAGCCTGTGAAGTGGGGGCAATAGTAAAACCAACCCCACCAAGCTGTGCTCCAGGATTCAGCTAGTTAATACGTAAGGTCCTGGGACCAGGCCTGCACACGGGAAGAGCTTCTATCTCAGGCGGCCTCCAGGCAGGGACTCGTGGACGGGGGAGGAGGCCGTTTCAGGAAGGGGCCTGAGGCCACTGGGCGCTGTGCAGAGATGAGAGGCTTGTTGAGACAAGGCAGGTTCTAGGCTTTGAGGACCAAGCAGATGCGGTCGGGAACGCAGAGGACAAAGAAGGTGGAGGTGAGGTGGTGGCATAAAAACAGGAACCCCAGAGTCTGTGCTCTCTTCTCCCCAACCCCCTCCAGGGAGCCCTCCCTCGTGTGGGGCTCTTCCCCGCTGCTGAGACCCCTCCGCTCCTGGATAGTCACCACAGAAGACAAAGAAGAGGATAGAGAGGAAGGAAGGAAGGAAGGAAGGAAGGAAGGAAGGAAGGAAGGAAGGAAGACAGAGAAGACAGGGGTGAGGAGTCACAGAGGAAGAATGCAAAGGTAGGTTGGAACTACAAAGGGACCTGAGGTCATGGGTCAGAGGTCAAGGGACACTAGAGGTCAGTGATAACTTAGGAGAAGAGTGGAAACCGACTCTTTCCTATCCAGGTTCTTAAGCCCACTGGATTTGCCCCGAGCCTGGGCTAGAGGCTGGCTAAGAAAGGACCAGGGTCCTCACCAGGTTCTTAAAGAGTGCAGCCACCTCACGGGTGAACACGGCCAAGTTCAGGAAGCCGGTAGACAGCTCGTGACTGTTTTGGGACAGGTGGCTATTGCCTAAGGATTCCACGGCCTCTCGGTACTGCTCCTCGTTCTCCACGTGGCCTGTGGAGAGAGGGAAGGGAGCTCAGAGTTAGCTCCAGTCTGGGGCTGGGGAAGGGGCGACCTGGCCAGGCTGGGCATCAGGCCGGCTGACTCACCGAGGCCAGAGCTGTGGATGGCCCGCACAGCCTTCTTTATCCTCTGCAGGATGGCCTGGTCTCCTTCCAGGATCTGGAAGCAAACGTGGACAGAAGTTCAGGGATGCCCAGCTGGGAGGGGTGCCTGACTCCACAATCCCACCCTCCAAACACAAAAATAGAATTCCGCCCTGGCTGGCGTAGCTCAGTGGATTGAGCGTGGGCTGCAAACCAAAGCATCGCAGGTTCGATTCCCAGTCAGGGCGCATGCCTGAGTTGCAGGCCATGGCCCCCAGCAACTGCACATTGATGTTTCTCTCTCTCTCTTTAAAAAAACAAAAACAAAAACAAAAACAAAAAAAAGGAAAAAAAATAGAATTCCCTCCATAGGGTCCCCTTGCACCCTCCACCAAACATAAACAGACCCAAAGGAACCCACAGACCAGTCACACCACTCCAGGAGGACCACAGACTTGTCCCCAGGTGCAGTGCAGGCGGAGTAAGCATAGTGATTCTGATGTATGGGCGTCACGGGATATGCCAGACCTGGCTTGGGTCTCGGCTGTGGCGCTAACCATTATGTCAACTTAGACACACCTGTTAACTTCTCCGAGCCTTGGATGCCCTGTCTGCAAAACTGTGGACTCAAGGAGTTGCTGAGGGAATGAATGACTTTATGAATACGTACAAAATGCTTAGCAAAGACCAGGGAGAGAACATGGACATCGCTACATTCTCAAAAACATAGACAGGGGCAATCTTGTTCTCCCAATCCCAGGCTCAATAAGCAGCTGTATGAGGACGAGGGGGCAGACGCAGGATACCACAGGCGGGCGGTGAGATGGGAGAGGGCAGAGGGCACACACTCAGCACCCCACGGGAAAGGACTGGTGGATGACATTGGGCAGCCTCAAAGTGCAGGGGTGGCAGCACAAACGGCAGACCAGGGAGGGCCAGTTGTGATGGCAAGAGGCAGGCCTCACAGGTGTCCAGTGGGTTCACCCCGTATGGAAACCACCCCTCCTCCGCTGGGGTGTGGAAGCTGCCAATCTCGTGAAACCCTTATGCAGTACATAGCTGAGTTGGAATGCAAGGGCTGCAAAGGGCCCACAGACCCACAGATGAGGAATGTGAGGCCAGGAGCGGGGAGGGCCGTGCCCAGTTGCACGGTGGGCAGGCTGCATAGCTGGGCTCCCGGGGGTGGCCCGGGACAGTGCTCCACCCACGGCCCCACCCTGACCCCAGCCCCACCTGTTTTGTCCAGTGACTAAAATGGGATCAGAGTCTCCTCTCCAAAGAGTTACTACACCGTGACAAGAGTTAGCAAACACATTGGAATGGTATCTCCGAAGATTCTAAACAATGCTCACAGAGGACGTGCGCAGGGCAGAACTCAGGGGCTGAGGAGAGCGATCTCAGAGCCTCGGGCGTGTGGGAAGCCTCTGGAGGTGGGGGGGGGGGTGGGATCTGGTCTGGTTTTGAAGCCCAGCTCCACTGCCCAGACGCTGCGTGACCTTGGGCAAGCTGCTGATTCTCTCCGTGCTTCCTGATCAGCTATCTGGAAAGGAGGGAAAATAGTGCCTCCCTCTCAGGCTCGTTGTGAAGATTGGTTTTATTCAATGACACACAGAAAGGGTTTACGTGGTGCTAAGCAGAGTGTGTCCTCCTTGAATAGTACCTGTGATCCTTATCAGCAGCTGCTGCCGATGGTAAAAAGGTCCATCCAATTCTGAATGCTTTTCCTACGTAGATGAGAAACCTAATATTTCCCGCCTTGAGTATGAACTTGAGACACTTTCACGCTTGGAACCCGGGGAAGCCCATCGGTTCCGAACAGGGCTGAAGGAAGGAAGTCAAGGACTTAGGGAGACTGGGGAGAGGGGCCATAATTGAAGCAGCTAAAGAACTAAGACACTTCTTCCTAGAGAGACAAAGACAGGAGGAGGGGACATGGACATCTCCTTAGCTCCCAAAGCCGTGGCCGCCAGAGCCCTTGATCCCCACCTTGAAACCTGAAAAGGAAAAGCTAGGAGGTGATTAACTTAAGGAGCTGTGACTTCACTCCTAAAGCCAATATGAACAAAAAAGATATGAACGAATTCCAGAGAGATTTAGAAAGCTCCCTAGAAGGTCGATCCGTGTGCCTAGCCTACAGAAAGTGCTCAAAATTGTTTACCTAAATGAATAATAGTCGGCAGAGCCCTGGGGCACGGGCCTGGGAGTTCTAAGTCCATTCTCTAGATGCCTTTTGGGGATTTTCCTAGCTCATGAGGCCCCTTCTCTGGAAACTGCCTTCCTCCCCTCTGGAGGTGACCCTTTGCCGCCTTGTTTGTTCTAGTCAGAGGTCACTGGGCCAGGGTGGACACCTGCCCCACGGTGGGCCAATCAGATTCTGTCTCCAAGGGATTTGGAACTGGGCTCTGGAAAGCGAGCTGACTGATTGGAAGTGCTCAGGCTGGGACGTCTTGCCCACCACGTGCATGAAAAAGGAGTAAAGCAGGAGTGTAGAAAGAAGCACGAGATGCACGTTCCCGCAGAAGGGCAGACGGAAGGAGCTGCCCTGGTGGTAACTTGTCAGCTCCTGTTATATCGAGTATCCTGTCGCTTGGAGCTGAACCTGGCTGTAAACGGTATAGACAGGTTAGTCACCCTAATCACGCACACACTGTCCCTTGATGGCCTTGTCAGACATATATGGGAAATAGCCTCCCAGAAAGATCCTGTTCCTGTCCCTATTGCTCTTAACAATCAAGGTTCACACAGCTATTCACTCATTCACTCATTCATTCAGTTACTGAGTGCCTGCTGTGCATCCAAACCCTGTGTAAAAGACACAATCTCAGCTCTCAGCACATCTCCATCTAAGGTGAGAAGGAGCCAAGTAAACAGATACTTGTAAAGCAACGTGACCAGGGCACGACGTCAGATGGACAAGGTGCCTGGGAGCCCAGGGGAAGCAGAGCCACGTCTGCTTAGGAAGAGCGGGGAAGGCTTCCCCGGCGCTATGATGATGCTCAACCCCAGGACGGGGCCGGAAGAAAAGAAACTAAGAGACGGACCGCATTGTGAGGCGGGCAGCACTGGGTGTAATGGTGGGATTGCTACAGGAGGGACGCTTGCTCTGGGAAGAATGGATAGGGAAATGAACATACTTCGCTTGTTTGTTCCTTTGTTTGTTCATTCATTCATTCATTCATTCACTCCAACAAGCATCTATGGGTGCCTCTTTCAGCCAAGCACGGCCCCTTCCTTCAAGAGGCTCGCAGACATATAAACATACGAGTGCCTGAAGGGGGCACAAGACGGGAGAATGCTCATCACCCTCTTCTCAAGAAAATATCTGGAAATCATTCACACCAGGGTATAAATGATAATACCTACCCTCTATGACACAATGGGCAAAGATTTAAGCTGAAGAACTATAGTTTTTCCTTAGGCTTCTATTTTTCTTTTTTTAAATTTATTTCATTTTTTAAAAGATTGTATTTATTTATTTTTAGAGAGGGGAAGGGAAGGAGAAAGAGAAGGAGAGAAATCAATGTGTGGTTGCCTCTCACGCACTCCCTACCGGGGACCCAGCCTGCCACCCAGGCATGTGCCCTGACTGGGAATTGAACCTACGACCCTTTGGTTCACAGACCAGCACTCAATCCACTGAGCTCACCAGCCAGGGCAGAACTATAGTTTTAAGGAGGAAATTCTGATCACAGCCTGGGGATGGGTGTCTGGGGAAAGGCACAGGGGTGTCCAGCAGTGATGAGTCACAGGCTGAGATGCTAGCCCCAGGCTCCCCCAAACACTCTCCCTGGGAGACACCAGCCCAGCCGCTTCTCCAAACCTCCTCTTCTTTCAAATGGGAGAAAAATCATGTAATTTGGGGGCAGGGGTTGGAATCCATTTTCCACTTAACTCACAGAGTTACTCAAATTCCCAGTCAGGGCACATATCTAGCCAAGGCTTGAGGCTTTCGGAAAAAATGAGTCCGGTCCCTACTGTGGTTTGTGCTCTGCCCCTGTGTGAGGTCGACCCTTGTTTCCCGAGCCTGAGCCCGGACAGGCCAGGGGAGAAGCCAGGTCTGGAAGTAGGTGGCTCTGTTTAATCCCCGATAGTCAGTCTTTCTCAGAGTGGGGTCCCTGGACCAGCAGCATGTCCATCACCTGGGAACATGTCAGAAATGCAAAATCTCTGGTTGGATCAGAAAATCTGGGATGGGGCTCGTCAATTTGTGGGTTTAAAGAAATTTTTAAATATGGCCCCGACTGGTGTGGCTCTGTCAGTTGGGCGTCGTCCCACAAACCTGGGTTGTGGGCCAGGTCCCTGGTTGGGGATGTGTGAGAGGCAACCAAGTGACACATCTCTCTCGCATTGCTGTTTCTCTCCCTGTCTTTCCCCCTCCCTTCCCCTCTCTCTAAAAATAAATAAATAAAATATTAAAATTTTTTACATGTGTTTATTGATTTGAGAGAGAGGAAAAAAACCCCATCTCTTGGTTGCCTGCCATATGCACCCCAACTGGGAATTGAAACTGCAACCTAGATATGTGCCCTGACTGGGAATTGAACACCCAACTTTTTGGTATATGGGGTGACGCTCCAACCAACTGAGCCACACCGGCCAGGGCTCCATTTGTGTCTGAACAAGCCCTCTGGGTGATTCTGATGCACACTAAAGTTTGGGAATCACTGACCTAATTCTACCCTTCTGAAGTGCAGTGATTCATCAAGGCTAAAAGGATGGGGCTGGCCCCAAACTACATGGCTTTATATATCTGCTCTGTTAGGTACTTGCTCTGACCACTCTGTGCCTCAGTTTCCCCATTCATAAAATGAGGATGATAATAGTTCCTATTACATAGGGTTGTTAGGGAGATTAAATGAGTTCACATAGGTAGAACGTGTGTAACAGTATTATTTGAAAGCTAAAAATGTTATCTATTTCAAAACTAAATTTAGCTTGGCTTAGGAAATTTTCAAGTTTCCTTGAGCTAATTAAAGATACCCTGCCCCCAGAGGATCCTGCTCAGCAAGATGTGGGACCCACAGGTGCAGAGGGGCCAAGTGAAACCTCTGCCCCGGGCAGCCACAGAGAAAGATG